TCAAAGTGACACTGTACATTAATTGTAAATTTCCAGGAATTGGGAGCAGGTAAGAATCCTTATTTTGTATTGGAAAAAGCATTCCTCTAATTTTAAGGAAAGGAGTTCTCTGCTATGTAAACCAGTTCACTACTGTTGCAAAACACAATATCCACAATAGCTTTTTTAAGCTTACAATGTTCTGAATTACAAAGAGGAAAAAATCTTAGAGCAAGTATTCTCATATTTCTCTTACTTTTGTATTCTTTTTTATTGAGGTATAGTTGATTTCAGTGTTGTGTTAATTTCTGCTCTACAGCCAAGTGATTCAATTTATATATAATATATATATTCTATATATATATATTCTTTTTCACATTCTTTCCCATTATGGTTTATCACAGGATATTGAATATTGTTCCCTGTGCTATACAGTAGGGCTTTGTTGTTTATTCATTCTATATATAATAGTTTGCAGCTGCTAATCTCAAACCCCCACTCCATCCCTCCCCCACCCCTCCTCACCCTTGGCAACCACAAGTCTGTTCTCTATGTCTGTGAGTCTCTTTCTATCTCGTAGATAAGTTCCTTTGTATTGTATTTTAGATTCCACATATAAGTGATATCATATGGTATTTGTCTTTCTCTTTCTGACTTACTTCACTTAGAATGATAGTCTCGAGTTCCATGCATGTTGCTGCAAATGGCATTATGTCGTTCTTTTTTTATGGTCTTACTTTCTTATTCTTAATGCTCAGAAGGCTGAGGCATATTCTTCAGTGTAATTCCAATTTATAAGTCACTTATCTATTGAAAATTTTATTTTTCTGGGACAATAAGGTATTATAATAGCACTTCTGACACACAAAATCAGTCTAGTCTTAAACATAAAGGATAAGAAGGAAAGGAATTATTAAGCAACTAACTAGAAAACGTTTCTAGAAGACTAGCCCCAAAACCCATTCATTCACCCACTCATTCATTCATTCACTCAGTCATTTTTAGTAAGCAACTTTCACCAACATGATACTGAGTTACCGTATCTGTGAGATTCAAGTATCCCTTTTAAGCTAGTAACTTTGTCTTCAGAAACAGACTCATTGGAATGATAATTCAAGCTCACAAAGACTAAAATACCAAATAAAAAGTCTTAGGTTCCCCCAAAGAGGTTCAGATAAAATATGAGGGGAATCCTGATGGTAGAATGGTTATGTCTAGCTTTGGGAAAGTCTTCAAAGAAAAACTGTACTTTAAACGGTAAGGATTTGGATCTTGGCAAAAGTAGAAAGGGAACTTCAAGGTACATGAAGTAGTGTGTGCAAAGCAGAGAAAGTAGAATATGAGAGGCTTTCTCCAAGAACTGCGAAGAGTTTAATTGAGGTAGAAAAGAAGGGAAGTAGGGGAGAGTCAAGTGTAGCAGTGACTGACTGGAAGGCTTTGAATGCTAACCTGAGGAATTCAGACTTGGCTGAGGAATGAATGACAGTTATGAAAGATCTTCTTGAACACAGGGGTATCATGACCAGAACAGTCCATCAGGAACATGAATGATAAGCCACACCTGTTTCAAAGCCAAAGAAATTAGCTCGAAATTTAAATGTTTACTTCCCCCCCCACCCACAAAATTGGTATTAAGTAATGGCAATGCCTGCTTTTTTTTTTTTTTTTTTAACTGAACTGTGAATCACTACATGGCAGATCCTTTTCCAGCTCCCTGTGGTTTAGCTGGTCGTGTCGGTCTTCGTCACTGTAGAAAGTGTGGTGCTAATTAAAGATCTTACATTAACTCTAGGCACTGGTTTTCCACTGACCTGTGACTGTCCCAGCAGCCAGGCTGGCACTGTCTGTGCAACCAGATAGTCGTGACATCTCGTAGAGCTTCCTGCTGAAAGGGCTCTCTCCTGCCAGGCTTCTGGCTATTTGAAGAGCCACGCACCTTTGAAAAGTTTCAAAGCAAATTTGCAGAAGATCCAAAGGAGTCAGCCATTTGCAATCAGTGTTTAAAACACTGCAAGTAAAACTCCAATTGAAAGAGCTATGCTTCAGGGAGTTCTTTGCAGCCGAGCAAGGATGATGAGGCCTTTCTTGGGGAACTCGCGGACTTTATCATTGAAATGAGGTGACGAAAGGAGGAGTGGCTAGAATGGAAAGCCCTTCACAGCTCTGACACTGCAGAAAAAAAGTCACCTTTCCTGGCTGAGTCTCCAGATTCTATAAGTTTTTAATAAATAAACACCAGAGATCAGAGGTAGCAGCTGCAGAATGTGGATAGAAGAAGGCGCTGAGTGGCTAAAAGTTTGAGCAGAGGGGCTTTGTCTTAAGAACTCCTCTCAAGATATGCCTTATTTGCCCTGCAGTCAGCAGTGGCCTCATTCTGAGTTCAGCCCATGGAACCCTGGATGAGTCATTTAACCTCTTTGAGCCTCAGAGTCTTCGTTTACAAAAAGAAGATTGTACCTTCCGTATAAGGGTAGTGGTGAGCATACAGTGATCGAATGTTGTGGATTTGCTTCAAAACAATATAAGAAAGGAGAAGAGGTCAGGATATAGATGAATCAGGTGGATCCTAAGGTGACATTTATTGATGCTGTCCACCAGGTACCTAGACGCTCATTACACTATACAGTCTACTTTAGTCTGAAATATGTTTGAAGTTTTTCATAATTAAAACTTTTTTAAAAAGATGAAGTCAGCAAAAATATATGTCTGTAAGGAACAATGTACTTCAAAGGATTAAGGAGTTGAGATAGATTTTACTCTTAGATAGCCAAGCACTTTGTTATTCAGTATGTAGGATTTTGCTTGGGGGAAGATCATTTTAAAAGATAAATGAGTTTTCAAAGATAAATAATTTTATGTCTGTGACCATAGTTTGAAAATGCCTATACATATTGTCACCCCTTATATCATAGAGTCTACTTATGAGAAAATGAGAGAATTAAAGTTGACCTTTTAGTTCATAAAAGGCAATCACATTCGGAGAATGTGACATTTTTTGTGTGTCGCAAGGTAGATGCAATGATTGTATTATTTCTCCTTCGGATATTTTCAGGTTTTACATTACTGGGAAGACATTTGGCCTTCAGGGTATACTTTTAATTTATTCTCAGATTTTATTTTATTCTATTTTATTAAGAAAATGCTGTTTCCACTTGAAAGACAGTTATATTGCTTAACTTTGCTTTAGAAGAGCAAATGTTTTAAATCAACATAAAAGGTAGAATATTTAAACATGCTCAAAATATACAAACCAGCTCATGTCATATTTGCAATTCAAATCTCATTTTTCAAGGAATTTTAATTCTACTGAGATTTACCTAGTAGTTTAGAAATAAGATTGTACCTTATTGATTATATATTAGGATAATTAGGCTTACTTTCAAGATCTGCTCACACAATCTAGAAAGTGATTTGAATACATTAAACCAACTTTTGATGTATTGTAAAATGTGACTATCCTTAGGGTAGGTATTAAGTGTCAACAGCAGGAATCTTCAAGTTGGGGAACACATAAGCCAGGGTGTGTGAAAACTTCTCCATACGATTTGGAGCCACTTAGATAGTTTTAAGTGAATAAATTTCCACTTCCTGATCTCCCTGTTAATTCTGCTATCCCACCTATGTTTTAATACAATAGCCCTTCTCGCTAGTCCGCTAGTCCGAAGGAAAGGCCTGAGTCTAACTCTGAGCCACAAGGCCCCAGGGAGCAAAACCTCTGAGGGGAAGGGGAGATGGAGAGGGGGAAAAGGGAAGAGTTGAAAATACTGGTGTCCTATTAAGAACTCATGAGTCTGGTGATTAGATAAGCAATTCTCTGCATATCAAATGCTTAGAAGTCCTATTGCTGCCAACAAAAAGGAAGGACCTAATGGTCCTTATGTCTTATGATGGATCATTGGAAGAAATCTTTGATGAAAGTTTATTAAGTGGCTTTTGGCATGTAATTCAGGAGTTTAGAGAATTAGCGGCACTGCCAAAACAAAAGTCCGACTACTTCTTTATGCAGGCAAGATGTCTTAGCACTAGCATTTATAAAAACAAAAATTAGGGAAGTATTGATGCTGAACCCTGTCTCATCTTAGCAATAAATAATACTCATTAGCAGATCCATGAACTAGTTGTGAAAAAAATACATCTCATTCAGAGAGGAGTTTTTAATGAATTGTTACTCTTGCTTAATAATCATAAAATGTGTAATATATTTTTGCTGTTTTGATCCATTGTGCTTGAATAATTATAATGCCAATCAGGAGATTTATTTTTGATTCTTAAATAAAGGCTTATGTTCTCAGGAAATCTTTAAACCTTTTTAAAAAGTAAATTTATGTATTTTTGCATCAGGGAAATATGATACCATAATCAATAAAAAACACTCAAGCATAAAATTATATTACATGAAGATAAAATTATATGGGGGAAGTGGAATGGAAATAGACACGCAGGAGCAAAAAGGACCAATGTAAAATTTCTGTTACAAATTCCTATTTTAAAGATTTGTGGGGCTTCCCTGGTGGCACAGGATTCCGCCTGCCAATGCAGGGGACACGGGTTCGTGCCCCGATCCGGGAAGATCCCACATGCCGCGGAGCGGCTGGGCCCGTGAGCCATGGCCGCTGAGCCTGCGCGTCCGCAACCTGTGCTCCGCAACGGGAGAGGCCACAGCAGTGAGAGGCCAGCGTACAAAAAAAAAAAAAAAAAAACAAAGATTTGTGTATTTTTTTAAATGGTGGATATCAAATTACTTATAGTGTTTAGATTCCACTGAATAGTCGAAAAGGTAGTGGAACAGTATATTTTTAAATGTCAGTTTTGTGTGGAATCACACACTTGGCAACTACTTAAACTTATGAAAAATTCTGTCCTCTAGTTGAAAATATAAAATTGTTTTATGAGATACATACGTAAACGTTTGAAGCTCACCGGCCCACAGCACATTGGATGCCGCGCCGAATCTTGACCAAATGCACTCATTTATAGAATTTCCCATCAACTGTGACTGAAGATGTTGCCTTGTTTGATAGGATGGGCTGACGCCACTGCACTGTGGAGCGAGGAGTGGCCATGAGCAGGTGGTGGAGATGCTGCTTGATCGAGCTGCCCCCATTCTCTCAAAAACCAAGGTAATTTCTCCCCAGGTGTTTGGTCATCACACTGTATTGAGCTTTGAATCCCTTGACTGGTTATTTCACCCAGCCTTTCAATCACATAGAAAATGCCGTAGTTTGAATTTAGCAATTAGCGTGGCTCTGTGCACCCAATCTTTGGTGACCCTCAAGATTAAGTTTGGGTTTATGAGGCCTTCAGATGCATGCCCTCTATCACCAAGTCATTTGCGTGTGTGTTGCTTTTGTTTTTATTTTGTTTTGTTTCAGGAACACTTAACTGCTTGATTTTATTCTATGAAACTTTCATAGCTCAGAATTGATTGCTTGTTGGGGAAGGAAAGACTGCAAGATCTACAGTCTAAATTCTGGGTGCTGGTGCACTTTCTCCAGCCCTTCAGTTTATTTTTTGAGAGTTCACAGACTATTAAAAAGGCCAAGATATCATTTAACTGAAAAAGACTGGAAACTTTGGAAAGACTATACCTTGCTTGGGCCTTTGGAAAAGTTGACATATGTGAAGGGAATACATGATGATGGCCCGAAAAAAAATAATGTTTTACTAAGTGTCTTCTGGATTTTTAAATGGTAAAACCATTTGACAGTATTTGAAAAAGAGAATATTTGTAAATAAATCTGGGGACATATAAAAACTACCTCAGAGTCATTACTGTTTTTTTTTAGATCAAACCAGTGATTTTTTGAAGCTATGTTAAGCTTTATAAGGAACCCTAATTTCTAAATATTAACAAAAAAAAACCCCAAAAGTACGTATTACTCCTGTTTGTACTCTGATTGGTGTTTACTCAACAACTCTAGTGAAGATGGACAGGGTCAAGGTGGTCTGAACAATTCCATCACTCATTTGAAATGCAGGTTTAGATTGGTGAGCTGTTGGAGATGTTATCCAACAGAATTAAGCAGCCACCATTTTTCATTGCACATGATGACATCTTGGACTCTTGAATGCTTCTCATCTAAACCATTCTATTCGTTATTCTTCCTTTCACATAGTCCATATCTATCTTCTCTCCATCCCACTGCTATCTTTGAGCTACATCATCTTCCTGAACCATCATAATCACTTCCTTACTGGTCCCCCACTTCCTCACCTGCTCCTTTCCAATCCAGTTCCCATTTTGCAGTCAGAGTGGCCATATAAACTGTCAACCAAATCATGTCAACCTCTTGCCTAAAAAGCCTCCAAGTAATTCCCATCGTTCTCTTTAAAATTAATTTTTATTTTATCAAAGCAGTATAAGCACAATTAAAAGCAAATCATTGTCTCGTCTTTCTTCTCCTAGTGTTCATCTCAGTATCTATTTGGCTTTTTTTCCTGAGAAATCTCCTTGACTTTTTTCTTTGATGCTTTTAATATGCAAGAACATTTTCTTGTCCTCCAAGAGCTTCTTTTCTTAAAGCATCCAGTTCTTGTTTTATGGATGCTATACATCCTGTTGCCTTTTGGAGAACATTCAAGGTGACATTTCTTTAAAATTCTTTCTGCCTCTCATCTGTCCCTAACTCCTCAGATTTCCTTTTTTCTCTTTGTTGGCTTTGGCTCTCTTTTTCATGATGGGGGTTGCCCACGAATGTCTGTACCTGACCGTGTCAAGCACTCACCTTTGAGTGGAAGCTCCGTGAGAGTGTGGGCAGGGCTTCTCTCAGGTGTATCAGGTGGTGGTGGGTTGGAGGGGTCCCTAACGTCAGGATAAATTGCCCTTTTCTCTGGAAGGTTTGGTTTTTTTTGAGGGATGAGTCCTCTAACCTTTTGCCGTGTACATCCAGGTGAATACATTGAGTAAGAAAAAGGAAAAGGAGCTGTCATCCTCCTGGTCCTCTGTGCATACCTTAATCATAACAACGATAACAACATTTACATAGTGTTTACTACATACCAGGCTCTAAGCACTTCACATATACTAACCCAGTTACTCCCCACAACAACTCGATGAGGTGCTGATTTTACTATTATGCCCTTTTTATAGATGAGGAAACTGAGATCCGAAGAGAGAAAGTAACTTTCTCGAGATGTCTCAGCTAGTGGCAGACCAAGGATTTGAACCCAGGCAGTCTTAGTCTAGAGATCCTACTCTTAACACCTATGCTGTCCTTCCTTCTTCTGTGAACACCTGTTCTCAGTCCTGAGCCTAACCACTGCCCTCCGCTCTGCCCCAGCCTCCACATCCAGAATCTCCAGAAATTAAATTCCTGGTTTCCTGCAAGTTATGAGGGGGCAGCCATCTGGCTTTGCTGGATTGGAAGGGCTTGGAGACCTGACCACTCCATAGGCAGCTAAACCAATCCTGCTTTTGGCCCCAAGCTTCATCTTTATCCTCCAAGGTATTATGTTTCCATATTGTCTGCCTTTGGGGCATCTGAGAGGTAAATCCGTTTTCTGTATTATACCCCATGATATATACTGGAGCCTGTTGTGTACATCTCTTTCCAGTTCCATATTCAGTAACATCATGTTGATAGCTTGAAATCGGTCATAGCATAGAGGTCTTTACACCTTGGAAATTGGCAAATGCCATATCTCAGGGCTGTTCTTTAAAGAGCTATTGTGAAACATTTACCAGCACACCACGGATTATACCCCTCGACAGGCACTTAGGTGTCAGCCTTTTCCTCTCTGCTGGATGAGGTAACACTTAAAATCTTTTCTCATATTCCAAAGTTTATAGATATCACACATCTTTTTTTGTTTCCTTTGCCATGTTGTATGAGTGTGTGGGTGTGCATGCCCTGTGGGTTTTACCTTTTCAATTCCGTTCACGTTTTTTAGTGGAGTTTGTGAAAGGATGGATAAACACGCATGTCACAGCTACCATGTTTATCTGGAAGTTGCCCCGCCCACTGCACTGAGAATTCCTTACCAGAATCTGACCACCTCTCTGCCTCATCTCTCCTTCTGGTCCTTACCTTCTTCTAGCCAAGCAGCCTCCTTTCACTTCCTAGAATACACCAAGTTTGTTTTCATTTCTCATTCCCTCAGACTGACCTCTCTCAGTCTGTCCCAGAGCTCTGCAGTTTTCACACATTTCTCAACTCAAATGTCATCTTCTCAGAGAGGCCTTCTTAGTTTCTTTACCTGTTTGCTGTCTCTTCAGTGAAATGAAAACAAGAACTTTGTCTTATTCAGGGCAGTACCCCAAGGACCTAAATCAGCACCTGGCGCATAGGAGGCCTTCCCCAAATATTTGTTGAATGAATAGTAAGCGAATGAAGGCATTCTGAACTTTAAGACCGTCTGTCTAATTCTTCAAGACTTTCATCTTTCTGAGCTAAGAAGAGCCATCACACTGGATCCATGTTTTTAGCTTGATGACAATGCCATACATAATATGACCCCTCTCCACACGGCGGATAATCTTTCCTTTCTTCTGGTCCTTCCCCAGTGGCCTATAAGTTACCCACTCATATGTGGTTGTTTTGTGTATCATTAGAGAATCTCCTTCTTTTATTGACACAGCCTCCCATTTCTACTCTCCACTAAGTCATTTGTTCTCTCACATTTTGTTTCTTTGTTTACTTTGTGTTTTCCTCTAAGACTGTATCAAAACATAAAGCAGAGGAATGTTTTGGCAGGAAATAAACAAGTGCATATGCTAGTGGGTGGCAGTAACTCAAATGAGAAATGTTCCCCTCCTTTCCTGCACCTTAGTTTCTACTTTGGTGCAAAATGTTGGAGTGGAATTTTTTAGGCAGAAATATTCTGCTTGAGTGGCAGTGTATGAAGGCTTTAAATTTACATAATTATTTATGGAGCTCTTTCTATATATACAAGGCTCTCTGCTGGGCAATATGGGGAAATTATAACCCATGAACCTCCTGTTTTCAAGAAACAAAAATAGCTGAAATACATGACATGGTGAGTGAATGATGCCATGAGAGTGGCCAAAGGAAGGCTTGCTTTTTTCCCCCCTTGAACTCTTGTTTTATGTCATTGAGATAAATTAGGGGAATTTAACTTGGCCCGGAGGATTCAGAAATGCCTAGTTCCTTGGTGCATACTTCGTATATCATTATTTTCAAAGTTCAGTGATGTTGATTTTTTTGGAAACTGAATTTACCATCACTTTTCCCTCCCACGTAGGTTAAACTGGGTTACAGTAATTACTAGAGCCTCTCTTGATAACTGGATTCTCTAGGAACTTCCCAGGCTCCAACACTTTGTCTGCATATTTAAAGGAAGCATGCCTGGAAAGACTGATCTTAATACCTTGTTTTTGCCTTCATTAGAAAACGTGTGTTGAATGCTAAATGTCACTCCAATCTTTTTAATGGTTTTAGTTACCTTTGACCCCACTCATGCCTTCTCTCAGCTCTCTAAATGAACTTTTTACTTATCCGTATTGCAGATGAGGACCTGTCATTGAGCCCAATTGATTTAAACTGAGGCAAGCATTAATTAGTTAATGAGTTCGTCGCAGTCTTGCCTTTCCTCGCCATAGACACATGGGGGCACCAGATTGATGGAAAAGGGCAAAGTTTTCCTTTCTACGTTGATGTGAGATGAAATGTGTTCTATTCAGATCTTTTTTCTAAAAATTGATCAATATAATATTCAATATCAAGCATTAATAACACAGGAGCACAAAATAAAAACCCATCTAGTGAATACCATTCTGTTTCTGCCTTTATTTTATCCTTTTCAGTCTTTTGTTGTTGTTATCAGCATTTTTTTTATTGAAGTGTAGTTGATTTCCAGTTTTCAGTCTTAAATATTAAGAATTCAGATTCACTGGAAATGCAATCAGTAGTGGACCTTGGTGCAATTCACACTGTTTTTTAAATCAGAAAAAGAAATTATCGTTGAAAATTTATTTTTGATTGATTTAAGAAGTAGGAGGACTAGTTTGGAAAGTAGCTGCAGTTCAAAACAGTTGCCACAAAACCTTTTAAAAAGAGAAGGTATTTCCGTGTGCAAATCTAGGGTTTTCATCTGTTCACATTTGTACTGTATTTTATGTTGGGCATATTCGCATTTGAAAGGTAAAACAATAAACTCTGCTTGTCTTCTGTGTTCCAGAATGGATTGTCTCCACTGCACATGGCTACACAGGGGGATCATTTAAACTGCGTCCAGCTTCTCCTCCAGCATAACGTGCCTGTGGACGACGTCACCAATGACTACCTGACTGCCCTGCACGTGGCTGCCCACTGTGGCCATTACAAAGTCGCCAAGGTTCTCTTGGACAAGAAGGCTAACCCCAACGCCAAAGCCCTGGTGAGTAGCTTAGCTCACAAGTCCAGCCTGTGTTGTCTTGCTGACCATGTGCTACCCCTGCACGTAAAGGGATTCCTTTTCAGGAGGTGAAAATGGAAGGTCTAGTTAAGTAAAGTGTACTTCTTGTCAACCTTCAAATGGTCTTCTGGAAAATCTGTAAACCCTTCTATTTCCAACATTAGCAAGACTGGTGAGGCTAAATCATTAACTTCTTTATGGTCACACTCATGATTCTCTTACATAAATAAACCCAAAGACTGTACAAGCACAAAAGGACTGAGCTGGTCAGCTTATCTTCTGGTAGGTAAAGTGATAACTGTGAATTAAAAGTTTTTTGTGAGATCTAAAAATACGAGGCAAAATGATCAGAAAACTTCATCTTAAACATGAAAGGTCTAGGAATTTGTGAGCAGAAATTCGATGTGAGGATGTTAACCATGTAAGGTAATGAAATATCACCTGTCATTGTTTCCTCAAGATGTGAATCAAAAATTTGGTCTAGTTTGTAGTCTTAACTCCTAGAATGCCATGCTGCTTTAACCTTGAGCTTTGCTATATAGTTTGGTTTTCACAAGGAGATGGTGTTTGTTGTCTTTAGAAAAATAAATGGCCCCAAGTTAGTAAGCTGTTTAAATTTAGTTCAGAAGAAGCACTCATGTTTAGGAAAAAAATATGTCACCAAGTGCTAGGGAAAACGTGTGCGTTTACTAGCAATTTTGCGGTAAAGGCTGTCATCTGATCAACCCTTTTAGGAAGGGTCTCTGTTCCCTTGCGGCTCATATGGTCACCTCTGGCACTCTGTGGGCCCTGAGATTTGGAGTGGGCAGTAACGGATGGGCAGAGAGGAGCCCTCCAGACCCCAGGCAGCTCCATCACCATCGTAATTCCAAATGCTTTTCCTGGAGCAGCATTTTAAGAGCTGTTGACTGGCCCAGGATATCAAGCATATCTTTGAATTCTGAGAAGGGAGGAAAAGAAATGAGCAGTCGTGACTTATTTTTCCATGCAAGAAAAAAAGCCTTACAACAGGGTATGGGCTCTCATCCTCATTTTCCTCTGACTGAAGATTTCACAACATTAGGAGGTTCTGGAGGTTGTGGGCAGTCACCCCCGGATGGACTAAGGCCTGGTAAATGGTCTCAAAACCTCCATAGAAGCACTCGCGGTGACTCTGACCTAAACTTGCGTGGTGGGCCCTGATATTCTGTAGTTCTCTGTGGCGACAAAAATATGCTCCGTGGTCTCTCTCACTTAGCGGGCAGTACAGTTTGGTAAGTAATTTGTTTAAAAAGCAGGTTCTTTTACTAGATTAAATATTAAACCAAATGATCCAACTAATGTTGGGTTGTTTAACTTTCTGCTTCCTTGGAGTAAGCATCTACTTGAATCTTAAAACTTGGAAGAAATAAAAACGTTTCAGAACAGGTCTTGAAGTTGTTTTTAAATGCAGCAGAGAAGTCACAATGGGCAGTGGTGAAGTTTTGGCTGTGAGGACAAATTTTGGCTGAGATGTTTTTAGTCTGTCTTTGAAATGAGGTAGAGGAGGGACATATTTGGAAAATAAATTCCAGAATAAAATAGTCTAAGAAGACGCATGACCATTTTGCCTTAACTACCAGGAGATTATGACAAAAATTTGCTTCCTGTTCGTGATTAGCAGGGCACCTTGGGTTCCTGGGAGCAGGTAGTCTACCTGTGCTTCCAGAAAAGAATCTGTATTCGGTTTAACCCCTCGTTGTTGCCGCTCATTTCCAAATCTTTACACAACGTCACTTTTGCAAAAATATTTTACCATACACAGTGGAAGTAGATCTCAACAGAACGTAATCCAATAGGTCTGCGTCTTTTTCCCTTGCAGAATGGCTTTACCCCTCTCCATATCGCCTGCAAGAAGAATCGAATTAAAGTAATGGAACTCCTTCTGAAACATGGTGCATCCATCCAAGCTGTAACCGAGGTGAGAAGAGGAGGATTTCTGGGGTTCCCCATGTATAGCCTCAGCAGGCAGAGGCCCAGTGCCCTCCCTGACGACCAGCTAGTTTTACTGTGTGTGGGTGTCCTACTACTTTCTGAACCCTTCATCCAAGGGGCTGCCAGTGGTTAGGAGAGCAGACAAGAGTGGGAGGAGAGTGCAAATACATCACCATGACGAGAAGCATAACCCAAACACATGTGTCGTGCTCAAGGCAGGCGGGGGGACGGGGGGTGCCATCACTCCAAGCGTAATTTACATGAAATCCATTCATGCACTGCTTCTCAAATCCTGTAATGCAGTGCTTAGGGGTGGTTTTGCCCGCTACGAGGCATTTGTTCATGTCTGGAAGTATTTCTAGTTGTCACAACTGGATGGTGCTACTGGCATCTAGTGGACAGAGGCCAGAGATGCTACTAAACATTCTACAGCGTACAGCCCAGCCTCCAACAACAAAGAATTATCTGGCTCAAAATGTCACGTGTGCCACGGTTGAGAACCCCTGCACAACATAACCTCTGCATACCGATGAAGTGAGGATTGCTCTTGGGAAACACTCAGAATTAACGAAACACAGAGTTGCTGAAGTTAGTAAAAGGGTAGCTCTCGGTTTCTTTCATACAAACTGACATAGAACTCAGAGAAGTGACTTATTGGGATCAGGGCTGAGCCTGCAACACTCAAACCAAGCCTGGCATCCACTTCCCTAGGCTGCACTCCCTTTTGTTCACTCCATATCTCTACACCCTCCACGCGTCACGTCCCTCCCTTTCCACGCTAGTCCTGTATGTCTTTCAGGACCAGATCTGGGGCTGCCTTCTCCGGGAATCCTCCCGTAACCCTTGGCCTGGGCCAGGAGCTCCTTCTTGGGACCATTGCCACATCCTGTGCATATTTCCGTCAAAGCTCTAGTCCAGCTGGCTTACTTATGACCCAGCCACTCCCCTCCACCCCGCCCCAAAACTGCAGGCTCCACCAAGGCAGGCCAGAGTCTTACTGGTGTTAATATACCCGCAACACAGTAGATGCCATAGTAGATCATTCAGTAGTTTTGTTGAATGCAACCATGAAGACTCTAGGATTCGAAGCTAACATAAAAACTAAGGTCTAGTCCAGTCATTGTTGCTTTGCCTCAGTTTCTCATCTGCAAATGAAGTATTTGCCTTGATTTCTAACACTTACAACTTCGAAATACTAAATGATAGAAAATATTAATACCGATTCGCTCTTTTCTGAGTCTTCTGGCTTTATGGTAGGCATCCAGTTATTTTCATTATAAAAGAGTAAGTTTATTCTCAGTGCGTGGCAGCCCTTTTTAAAGATCAAAATGGGCTCTGAAATAAAAGATTTTTCACTGGCGTCTGAATAAGTGTCCAGAGATTGTGATGAGAAGCTGCCACTGCCAGCCCCGTACTCCCTCGGAAAGGCGACGCAGACCATGTCCTCACAACTCCCCCTGCTGATGGGAATAGGTGCCGAATTATAACAAAATTCTCCTTCCCCCTGTTTTCCTCAGTTCCCACTATTTGAAGTCTGGGCAACCAAAATTCTACCTCTTCTGTTTTCTTTCTTACTTTCATTGTATAGAATTCCTTTAACATATTTTTTGACATTACTCAAATTTCTGTTGAAATTAGTTGTCTCCTTCTCTCTCAGCTTTTTCTAGCCATATTAAGTATTTTTTTCCAAATTATGATGTTCATGGTATAAGTGGGATTAAATTCTGAAAAATTGAAAATGGAATCATTTTATGCAAGAAGCACCAGTGGTTGTGGGGGTGTGTGTGAGGGGGACTTTGAAGCACACATGAAAATTAAGGTCTAGTGACCATTGTTCTATTTGCCTTAATTATATCAGCTTGATTTATAATATGCAGAAAGATAAAAATTTAAATGACTGGGACAGTTAATGCTGATCTGCTCATTTCTTAGAGGGATGGCTTTGTGTTTCCACCCTGCTCTTTCACGTGTAATATGATCAGTGATTCTGAGAGCATGGGAGTCCTTACTAAAAGACCAGAACAGGATCTGAAATACAATTTGAATTTTTGCTATTGTGTATGTAATCACACAAGTGTCCCCCCTCCACACACACACACACACACACACACACACACACACACACACAGTCATATGGATAAGGAAGGCTTAGTAGCAAAGGGAAAAAACCTTCAAGGTATTTCTCTAAATATTTTTTATAGAGCTATATAGAATGTGTGAAATAAATCTTTCTTCTTTAATGGTTATGACATAGGCCTTTCATAATCACGGAACGTGCTTTAGAGACATGATGAATATTGATACGTTTGCCTTATAAAATCTATGACGTCATGGTGATGTCTTGATGTTTTCTGATCTGATCAATAAATTGGTTATCTTAGCCTGGATGGATGGATGGCAGGTAGGCAGGTGGGCAGGCAGACAAACCCTTTTTAAAATAAGCCAACAAACTGACATCTCCCTCTTTCTCCCCAGTCGGGCCTTACCCCAATCCATGTTGCTGCCTTCATGGGGCATGTAAATATCGTGTCACAACTAATGCATCATGGAGCCTCACCAAATACCACCAACGTGGTAAGTATCCTTTGAACAAAGTAGGTCTAATTGTGAGCATTTATGAAACTGGAAACGATTGCTCTCCATCTACCTATTTTTGTTATAGGTAAATTAATTCCCATTTAACTTGAGTACTTAGAAAAGGGCAGAATTTTGAAAATACCTGTGGTTTCCTTTATTTCAAAGGCAAGATCCATCCGATCACTAGCTGGTCACAAATTGCTGAGACTTAGGGACTGTGTATGTTACTACTGAATATTATGCTTTAAAAAATAAAGTTTTGTGGACGGGGAGAGTTTTTTTTCAACAGAAGCATTATGTTGCATGCATGATGCACCTAGAGATTATCATACTAAGCAAAGTAAGTCAGAAAGAGAAAGAAAAATGCCGTATGACGTCACTTATGTGTGGAATCTAAAATGTGACGAATGAACTTATCTACAAAAGAGAAACAGACTCACAGACATAGAGAACAGACTTGTGGTTGCCAAGGGGGAGGGAGCTGGGGGAGGAATGGATTGGGAGTTTGGGATTAGCAGATGCTAACTAGTATATAGAGGATGGATAAACAACAAGGTCCTACTGTGTAGCACAGGGAACTCTATTCAATATCCTGGGATAAACCATAACGGAAAAGAATGTGAAAACGAATATATATGTATAACTGAGTCCCTTAGCTATATAGCAGAAATTAACACAACACTGTAAATCAACTAGACTTGAATAAAATGTCTTTAAAAAATAAGTGTTGCATGTTGAGAAGGTGGTTCCAACACTCTCCTTATTGTGATTTCAAGAAACTTCAAAGTAATCTCTCTTCAGCGTGCTCGACAGTGTTATCGCAGACCCATGGAGCTCAGTTCATTATTGGATGTTGTTGTTTGCCCACACTGAGCATTGCTCTGCAGAACCATGAGACCCACTTCATAGTCAATGTCAGAGGAGTAACTTATCACCCTCGGCCTGCATGTGGCCTTTGACATTGCTTTACAGAATTTTAAGTTTAGCAGCATAACAGTCTTAGCACCCCAGACCACAAGCATAAGAACACTTGTTGGACTCATGAGCCCCAAAGAAATAAAAATAAAACGAGGAACATTCTGGCACAGAAAGGGCAAACCATAAGGTCCTGCGTCCTCACCCTGAGGGTAGGCCCCCGAAAGACGCTATGTCTTCCAGCAGCTTGAGTCAGCACATCCACGTCAGACCAGCTCTCAGCTGAAATGCAGTCTTTCCTGGTACTAACACCAGGAGAGAAGGTTTTCCTTTACAAAGAGAACACTGGGTAACATGGTCACCTACATCCTCAGCACCTTTCCAGGAAACATAGCAACAAGTTTCGTGTGAACTGTATCTCTGCATATCCTTCCATGGAGGTGGATGTCCTATAAAGCAAAGCGATATCTATAAAAAGTAATTTAAAGGTGGGCGCTGGGACTTCCCTGGTGGCGCAGTGGTTAAGAATCCGCCTGCCAATGCAGGGGACATGGGTTCGAGCCCTGGTCCGGGAAGAGCCCACATGCCACGGAGCAGCTAAGCCTGTGTGCCACAACTACTGAGCCTGTGCTCTAGAGCCCACGAGCCACGACTACTGAAACCCGCGCACCACAGCTACTGAAGCCCGCGTGCCTAGAGCCCATGCTCCACAACAAGAGAAGCCACCGCAATGAGAAGCCCACGCTCCGCAACAAAGAGTAACCCCTGCTCGCCACACCTAGAGAAAGCCTGTGCACAGCAACGAAGACCCAACGCAGCCAAAAATAAATAAATAAATATATAATTTTTAAATAAAAAATAAAGGTGGGCATCACTTGTGTGGGGCAGAATATATTTGATTTTTTTTACTTTTTACATTTCAATCCATATGTGTTTTCTATGTTGTTTTCCTTTTTTTATTATTACACAAACGAAAAGATCATCTGAATTAAAGTCCATTTGGTGAAAAGCAGCAGAGGCGGGGGAAGTCCAGTGGCAAAGAAAATAACCCCTTGGGATAATGCCCCAAAGGATAATGACCTGTTGAGATAAAGCAGGAAATGCAAACCAAGGGTAAGCCACGTCTGGCCCTTGGGTGTGTTTTGTGTTGCCTGTGCAGCATTTTTGGTTTTCTTTTGTTTTGAACTCTGATTTTTTGACCAGCATTCAAGAAATATCCACAAATATGCAGACTGCCGCTGTGTTTGAAAAATAGGAAGGTATGGCATGATACAGCTGGCATCGCAAAGAGTTACTGGAGTAGCCCGCTGACGCCAGCTAGCAGCGCCCCCCCCCCCAGCCAGGATAAGGCCTGGCCTGTCTCCAGGAGCATTCCCCCATCTGCCCGCTTCACTCGCCTACCCTCCTGCTTGGCCCCATAGCATTTGCCTTTGAACCCCCAGTGAGGCTACACTGTAGAGTATTGAGCACGGCTTCTGATCCTGCCGTGCGCTCTGGGCTTACACTGATGTCTTCCATCATGGACCAGGTTCCTGGGAAATTCTTGTGTATTTGATTTCCTATCTTTCCTATTTTCAATAAGGAAGTGCTTGGAACTACTTTTTATTTAAAAAAACCCTCCATCATCAACTTTATGCAAAGCAAATAGGCCAGTCTTCTTTAGAGCTGCCGTTAAGTTACCTTAAGTTACCTAACGGCTCCTGTTCCCCAGAGAGGAGAAACAGCGCTGCACATGGCAGCTCGGTCCGGCCAGGCCGAAGTCGTGCGGTATCTGGTGCAAGACGGCGCTCAGGTAGAAGCTAAAGCTAAGGTATGTGCCGAGCGTGGAAGTGTTTGCTGCCGAGAGAAGAAATGATTTTAATAAAACCTTTAAACATAGGCGTGCTTTCTTCCAGGATCACTCTTTTAAAGTAATGAACCACCACCAATGACAAAAGTCTCTACCCAAGGGATATTGAAAACATCCCTTCCCTGTATGTGTATCTACTCAATTATTTAACAAAATGAAATAGAACAAGAACTTTGTGTCCTTGGCACATTGCTCGTCCCTAATGGCTTAGGAAACAAACCTAGAATTGGCCCAGAGTTGTTTGCACTCTATGGAGAAGGGCTCATGCACAAAGCTTCTAAAACAAGCACAGTTTGGAAGCATAATTGAGTTCTTTTGGTTGACCTAGATGTCAGCTGTCAGAGCCACAAAAGGAAAAAGGGAGTTTGAACTTTTTCTCTGCAAGTTGTGAAACCATAAACCCTGAGACTTGGTCAGAGTTGTTCATGGAACATAGAATATAGAAGAACATCAGGGATGAGTTTGTTTGTTTGTTTGTTTGTTTTGGGCCGCACCTTGCGGCATGTGGGATCTTAGTTCCCAGACCAGGGATCGAACCCACGCTCCCTGCATTGGAAGGTGGAGCCTTAACCACTGGACAGCTGGGGAAGTCCAAGGGCTGAGTCTGCATGCGTCATTCTCTGCCTGGCATTTACCCTCCAGAAGAAACTATCTGTCACTGTCTTGATGGTAGTTGGTCTGGTTATCAAAATGGCAGTTTAAAATTTGTTGTTTATTTATTGATGTTTAGCTTTTTTTAATGATTTTTTTTTCAGTGCATGAATAAACTATAATTTACCAATTTTTTTTTTTAAATGGCAGTTTAGGTCAAGAATCGTAAATAGATATGTAAATACCTCAACCACTTAATTTTATCCCTTCAATATACAAATGTACATTTATTTGTCATTTAATTACATACTTTGTAGTTTCTAGTTTAGGGTTAAAAGAAGAGAAAACTGAGGCATTTGCAAAGCAGTTTGAGTACAGGATATTTCTCAACTTTTATAATTTTCCCCCAGTCTATTCAGCTCTCCTACCCATACGTAGTTTGACCATAGTTGGGTTTTTGGTTTTTTTTTTGTCTTTTTTTTCTTTTTTGGCTGTGTGGCATTCAGAACTTCCCCAACCAGGGATTGAACTTGTGCCCCCTGCATTGGAAGCATGGAGTCTTAACCACTGGACCACCAGGGAAGTCCCATAGTTGTTTTATTTGTTTTTTTGTATTTTGCGGTACGCGGGCCTCTCGCTGCTGTGGCCTCTCCCATTGCGGAGCACAGGCTCCGGATGCGCAGGCTCAGCGGCCATGGCTCACGGGTCCAGCCGCTCCGCGGCATGTGGGATCTTCCCGGACCAGGGCACGAACCCGCGTCCCCTGCATCGGCAGGCGGACTCTCAACCACTGCGCCACCAGGGAAACCCCCATAGTTGGTTTTTCATCAACGTCTACCAAGGCTCTCCAAGGCTTTTAAGTGTCCTTAAAGCCTTTCCTTCCGTACTCATACTTTACCTGTTAACATATTATGTCATTATATAATTAGTGTAAACATAGTACAAGCTAGAAAAGTACTAGTATAAACACACTAGTGTGGGAACAAACACAACTAGGTCTTTGTAAACATAAAATCCACAAAGGTGGGTACAAAGGTAGTGGTAACATTCTAGTCAGCAGACTATAAACCTTAAGTGTCCCGTGTATTGTGGTGCCAGCTGGTAGATTTTACAGAGGACCTAGAAACAGAGCTCCGCAAACGTTTTCTGGAAAGGGCCTGATCATCAATATTTTAGGCTTCACAGGATACTATCTTTGTCCACAAACTCTCAACTCTGTCGTGACAGAGTGAAAACAGCAATAGTACATAGTTTAATACATCAGCAAATGGACATGACTGTGTTCCAATAAAACTTTATTTACAAACACAGGTGACAGCTGGATTTAGCCCCTGGATTTTACTGTTCTGATCCCTGATCTAGAGGATGTTGGTTAATCGGTTAAGTAGATTGGTTAAGAGAGGCTGTACTCTACCATTACAAGAAACCTCACATTTTTGAGTGTTGTTACATATGAAGCATTTCGCCTAGGAAATGGTTTCACCCACAAGCTGAAATTGACCATAAGATGCATAGTTATCTCATTAAAGAGATAGTATGTATCATTGTTAAGAGCCTGACTTCCATAGCCAGTGGCATCTCCCCTAACTTCTCACACTTCCTACTAGTTACACAGACCCTCTTGCTTTGATCTTGACCTTTGCACAGCAGTGCCCTGTGCTCCAGCCTCTTCTCTCTACTTGCCCTACATAAAGTATTTACCTGGACTTTTTCACATCCTGGTAGAGGATTTCTCTCCAGAGGGCATCTTTGGGCAAACAAGGAAAAGATACCCCTCCAACGTGGGGATAAGGCCCTCAGGGTGCAGGACTTAGGAGTGCCTTGTGTCCTTGGGTGAACTGTCATAAGGTGCCCTCCACTCCAGGCAGATGCAGCCTGGATGACAGCTCGGCAAGCAGAGGATGGGCTGGCTGTCAGCCCCCATCGTAGCTGGGAACCTTCCTCAACCATCCTTCACTGCCCTCTCCCCTCCTCCCACTTTTGACTGTGGGAAGGCAGCACCAATAAAATAATTCATTACATATGAGTACATGAGAACTGGTGGAGGTATAATATCCCTCCCAGGTATTTCCGTTTTCCCAGGATACATTCCCTTATCTCCGCCAAAAAGGAGCCATCAGAGGTTTAAAAATTGCTAAAGTATAGCAGGACGGAGTGGGGATAATTTCTGGATAGAACTGCCTTTCACAATTCTCACGCTGATAGGTTACTCAGAGGGTGTTTAAGGTGCTTAGATCTGCCACCCTCACCTTTCTGAAACTTAAAGAAAAAGATAAATGAGGTTCTTTTTAGTATTGAATCAAAGAGTTGAATGTAGCCTCTGATACCAAGCAGTGAAGTTTCCTGTATTTTTCAGAGTGGCACCATTGTTTTCTCAGCTCATCAGCCCTGAACTTTTACTTGTCCTATAGGATGACCAAACCCCACTCCACATTTCTGCGCGATTGGGGAAAGCAGATATAGTACAACAGCTGTTACAGCAAGGAGCATCTCCAAATGCAGCCACGACTTCTGGGTACACCCCACTCCACCTTGCAGCCCGAGAGGGGCATGAGGACGTAGCCGCCTTCCTTTTGGATCATGGCGCATCTTTATCTATAACAACAAAGGTATGAAAGCCAGTCTTAGAATCCTGCTGTGTCCCCCCAAAAAACATTCTCTTTACAGTTTCCTGCGTGGTAATAGGTACAAAAGGTGTACAACAGCAACTATACTTGGATCCCAGGATTAACATGGCCAGCAAAGCCCTGGGGTGGGGCAGGGTGATTTGGTGTGTGTGTATATCTTACGTTTCTCAGTACATTATCTTCTAACGAAACCTTATTGATGTCTGGAGTCAGATATTTCTTGCAAGTTGTTTGACAGATTTAAAGGGTGCTTTAAAAACACAGCCACAGATTTCTGTTGCCGAGGCCAGGTATACAAACCACATTATCAAAGCTCAGTTGGTTAATGCTTTTATAATACTTTCAAAGCAGGAGGTGTATTTTTCTTGGTTTGTTGATGCTGCTTTTTTTGTTGTTGTTTTCTTTTCTGATTTATAGGTTTTTGTTTTTTTTTTTAATCTCAGCTCTGATGCCTTACAGTAATGACCCACCACACAGTTGCTTTTCAAGTGCAGAATGCAAAATTTAGAGCTCATTTTTCTTTGATCCTACATAAACTAGCAAGTGTGATAGCAAGATGAATTGGCCCATGGCATGTCTTAGAAAGCTAGAAATCGGTGTTACACCCTTTTTTAGATGCAGAGAAGAAGCATTAATTACAGTGATTACAAATACTTGGAAAACTATCTGAACAGATGATGACTTTCTCAAAATTCGCCCCCTGTGATTCTTTAGGCTCTTCAGTAGACATGCAAGTTCCTGGATCTCATTTAACATGTGAAACAGAGGAATGGGTGATGGGGTTTTGAGTGTCCCGGCCTTTCCACCATACGAGCTGCCCACTTACTCTAACTGGCTATAGTCCCATGGGGTCAAATATGTTGACGACCCTCTAATCCCTGCCTCGTGCTTGGGGCCCTAGCTGTGCATGGTGACTGACCGGTCGATACCCAGATCCTTGTTAAGAGTTAGAAGCAAGAAGAAGGAGCTGCTCAACTCTCAGTATCCAACTCTCGCCTATTTATTGAGATAGAACCCTGTGTTATTGTTCAGTTCACCTGTGGTGTCTAAAGTGTGAGAATCTCTGACTCCTACCCCTAAGGACTGGGTCATACATACAGACGTGTGTATACGTGTGGCAATAAAGAAAGGGGAAGAGAAAGGCTCCAGCCTGGTGATGTGGGAGGTTATGAGAGGTCCAGACTTGTCCTAGATTTTTCCAAGCCCTCCAAATCCAAATTGGGCCTGGACCCTATAACCTATTCTTCCCACAATGTGAAATCCCCAAATGGCCGTAGAATAAGCCCCAGATCCAGCTTTCCAACTTCATCCTTGTCAGATACCTGACTAGTCCCCAGGATTAGTGTCTCGTGGCCGAGCCAACAGAACGAGAAAGATTAAATATGCTGCTCATCTGTGTTGAAAAGGGGACTCTTTAACTGTTATCTACCAGTCTTGGTCCTTAAATACAGGCTTAACTGCTCTTCACCATTAGAATAACGCCTCAGTTCTAGAAGAGTGATACCTTTGTATCGTTTCTATTATTCATTATTTTTATGTTTATCGTTTCAGAAAGGATTTACTCCCCTTCATGTGGCAGCAAAGTACGGGAAGCTTGAAGTAGCCAGTCTCCTGCTGCAGAAAAGTGCATCTCCAGATGCTGCTGGGAAGGTATGGGATCATCGGCCAACCTGTAACAGGCCACTCCCATGATAACAAAAAACAAGCTCTTGCTAACATTCACCAACAGCCACCTAAATTATAACTAATCCATATTTAAGTCTCATAGGATGAAGATGACTGCAGAAATAGGAGGTGAAAGCTGGGGTCCAAGTGTTGTGGAAACTGGAATGTAAACTACACTGTGTGTTGTATCCAATCTAATCCCATCTCCTAAATCTAGGCCTCTGACGTTAAGGCGCTTTGACACTGGTTGTTGTTTCTGCACGTGTTTTCAGAGCGGGCTAACTCCACTGCATGTAGCTGCACATTACGATAATCAGAAAGTGGCCCTTCTGCTTCTGGACCAAGGAGCCTCACCCCACGCGGCTGCAAAGGTACCTGTAATGTGACAGCATGAGGAGACTGACGGGCAGTCTCTATATGTATATTTACTTTGGCTTCGTCTGTATCACCCTCCTAGTTTAGGCATCCCTTAAAGATCATGGCAATATAAGTGCCTTAGGAAATCTGTGCCTTCGGCTATAGTCAACTCCTGTGGTAGATGCTCAATAAATATTTACTTGTCCATTGATATTCCTTGAAAATCCAGGACGTCCTGGAGCCTGAGGAAAATCCAGGAAAAAAAGTTGAAGTCCTCTTTAGCCAGACTAAAAACGTAAGAACAGCCAGAGGGAGTAAGAAAGTTCTCATTTGTCAAAGTTATAAAATATGTGTTACATTTTCCTGGCCATAAAACATTGCCTTCAAGTGGTTTATGTGCGCTTAATAAAATAAGTTGAGAGGTTTTGCTCATGTGTTGTTATTATTGCTAAGGAGAATCTTTATTCTTTTTTTAAAATTTATTTTATTGAAGTATAGTTGATTTACAATGTTGTGTTAATTTCTGCTGTACAGCAAAGTGAATCAGTTATACAGATATATACATTCCTTTTCATATTCTTTTCTATTATGGTTCATCACAGCATACAGACTATAGCTCCCTGTGCTATACAGTAGGAGAATCTTTATTCTTCTTTATTCTTATTGTTAGGTCTTTTTTTTTTTTTTTTTTTTGCGGTACGCGGGCCTCTCACTGCTGTGGACTCTCCCATTGCGGAGCACAAGCTCCGGACGCACAGGCTCAGCGGCCATGGCTCACGGGCCCAGCCACTCCGCGGCATGTGGGATCTTCCTGGACCGGGGCACGAACCCGCGTCGCCTGCATCGGCAGGCGAACTCTCAACCCCTGCACCACCAGGGAAGCCCCGTTAGGTCATTTTTGACCGGTAGATAACAGAGATTTCTCAGAAAAGAGATACTTAGAGTGAATGGCTTTCTTATGACTCTGGTATTCTGACTTGAGAAGCAAATCATAAAGAGTTTATTTAAAGACAGGTTAGCATAGTGCTGTTGGTTTAATGAGTTCGCTATTGTTGAGCAGGTAGTTATGATCAGAGAACACTGGAATGATACAGAGCACAATTTAAATGCTATTCCATTCTTTTTCTAAATACTGTTGGTTGAAGGAACTTTTAGCATCCCTCCAGCTTTTTATATTTGTTTAGCTCTTCCATTTGGGGGCAGCTATAGTGTTCTCCTTTAAACTTAGTGTTTAGATCAAATCTCTTGTACACACAAATCAAAGAATTTGGGCTATTCTAAATTACTTTGGATACTTTCAGAGATAAAGTTTTCAGGTACTTTCTCTATTTAGAGAGTATGTGATCTTTGAAAGTTATTTCTCTTCAGAACCTTTTTTCCTGTATTTCTCAATCATCTCCTGCCCCATCGTCTTCAGAATTGTACCCAGTGAAATCTACCATTCAAAATCAAGCCCCCAAACTTGCTTTTCATCTAAGAGCAGCTTTTTCCCATAATTTCTAGCCCTGACATTCTTTCTATCATAAAGCCATCCCTTGACTTTTGAAAAAACTTTATTTTAAAAAAAATGAATAGCAGCATTATTCACAATAGCCAAAGTGTAGAAGCAACCCACGTGTCCATGGAAGCATGAATGGATAAACGAAATGTAGTCTATACATGCAATGGAATATTATTCAGCCTTAAAAAGGAAGGGAATTCTGACACGTGCTACGACATGAATGAACCTCAGAGATACTATGCTGAATGAAATAAGCCAGGCATATCAAAGGACAAATACTGTATGATTTCATGCAGAGACACAATGTAGAATGCTGGTTGCCAGGGGCTGAGGGAAGGAAAGAATGGGGAGTTAGTGTTGAATGGGTAGAGTTTCAGTTTAGAGATGGATGGTGGTAATGAACAGAGAACATTGTGAATGTACTTCATGCCATTGACTGTACACTTAAATGGTAAGTTTTATGTAATGTATATTTGACCACAAGTTTTAAAATGAGAAAAATTTACAATGAAATTTAATAGTTGTCCACTTCATTTGTTTATTTTCCTGTCCCTTTAAGCCTGGGCCACTTTTCTTCTGTTATAAATATCCTCAGGCTCATGGCAGGCAACCAGTAAATAATTAATAAGTGAACTATTCATTCCTCACATGAGAGTAATAATTTTGTCATAACTAGTGCTAAGTAGTTTAGAATTGACAAAAGTCATAAATAAGTGAAACAAAATGAGTCCAATCCACCTTTTCATCCACAAATAACTCTGAAAAAGGCCAATAGTTGATATATTTGTAGTTGATTTTCAGCTTCGTATTTGTCCAACAAGACTTCACGGTTCCCTATCTGCAAAACATCTTTGACAAAGAGTCGAAAAGCAGTTCTTTAACAGCCCTTTAGCCTTCAGCATATCTTTTACAGTCAATTGAACACAGGCTTTTCTAAGAGGACATTCATTCTCATTCCCATAGTGCAGTTGCCTCCGTAAGAGTCTCTGTATGCCATGTCTGACACATGTCCAACCATCCCCACTTTCTGAGGCTGTGGTCCTTGGTCAGGAGCTTTTTCTAGTCTTTGATCCTGAGCAAAGCCAGTTCTATCAGTTAGGGTTTGGTTCACCTGGTAGAAAAAAGGCGTAGCTACGGTGGATTAAACTGATGAGGCTCTGTTTGTTCTCTTGTCATAACCAGTCTGGAGGTAGGCAGGTGTTGTTGCTGGTTCAGTGTTTCCAGAGTGTAAAGAAAATTTCCTGTGATTTTTTTGGGTCTTTCTTCCAGCTCTTGTTGCTCAGGCTGCCAGGTAGTAAAGAAAGTCAGACACAGGTAGCCCACAGGGGCAGCCCCCTTGGAGGGCCTGTCACATATAGGTCGGATGGGTTTTCATAGGGACTAAACTTTTTTAAACAAAATTAAATTTGTTTTGTCATTTTTTTTCTGATTTCTTTAAACTGAATAGGACATTGAAAAGAGGAACAGTGGGTTGGAAGAAGGTAGAAGAGTAATATTTGAAAAGCAGACTGATAAATGTGCCCTCATAACGTGGTATTAAGTACCCTAATCACCAGTAGGATGGATTGAGAAAACGCAACATTAAAAAAATAAAGAAGAAGAAGAGGAAGAAAGAAAGTCAGACAGCAGGGCATTGCCAGAAGCTCCACCCAGCCATTTCTCCTTACATCTCATTGGCCACTTCCTTCTGCAAGGGAAGCTGGGAAATGTAGTTTTCAGCAGGGCACAACACCAAAGGTTCTTTTATTAAGGAAGGAAGGAGAATGGATATAGGGTAGGCAAATAACCTTCTTTCCTCTAGGGAGGCTACAGCATTTCTGAATTCAGGTAGTGGTGAGAAAGGAGGGCCAAAAACTCAACAGAGCTAAGCATGCATATGGATATGACAGACAGCCGTGCTTTCCATGCTACCTCTTCCTTATTCGCATCCTTTCTTCTTGGAGTACATGATGCTTTCTTGTTGCCCTTTCTTCCCTTTTGTAGAATTGCGGGCATATTTTCTTACCCACATGTGCCCTAGAAACACAATGTGACTTTAGCTAATGGAAGAGGAAGGAGGGTGCTGAAAAACTAGATGGGCTTCTCTAATCCATTTTAGCCAGATCTATTTCCTGAGGCAGGACACTGTGCTGGAAAGAGGATTGGCTTGAGTTCAGGAATAACCTGGGCACAGGTTGTGGAAGGGTTAGTGAGCCTTAACTTACTATTTGTCAGATTTCTCTTTCATAAGCTGTACAGTATATCTGTTGGCATGGATCAGTAGAGATTATGAAGGTTTGGGGGAAAAATATAAAGTACAGTGTAAATATATTACTTTTAATCATTTAAAATTACATCTGCTCTTGTTTTTAATCTTGAAATGCAAAAGGACACATGGCATGCACTTTGTCCTCTACATCAAGAGGGAAAAAGTATTGATTGAGATTATCCTCTAGTTCAGTCTCTCACTACTTTATGTCTCTTCTGATAAATGTATCTGTCTCCTTTTGTATGGCAAGTAAGAATCCTTTAACTTTCTAGAAATTAGAAAGAAGTTAGGAAATTTAGAAAATTTTATCATAGGTCTCAAGATAAACTACTTGTTTCTTATTCGAAATATTTCTTAAGCCTTTCTGAGATGAACTAGCCATTCTAAAATAATACCCTAAATTGTTTTTCCCTTGCTTTATACTTTCCTTTGTATCTCAGGTAAGGAGCTCAGAATAAACCCCTCAGTAATAATGAGTAACTTGTCTGGAATTGGCATGCATTACACAGATGTCAGAGCTTCCCTGTTTTCTAAGAGTCAATGATTTCTTGGTGGAATTAAAAGTAATCAAGAGGATTGTCACATCTCAGAGGATACTGACTTACCTTTAGAGGCTGAGAACTTACTGACTGATAAGATGCATGATTAGAAGCTGCTCTGACTTTATCTTGCCTTTACCACTCTAATTAGTTCGTGTTAAGAGTCTTGACTAATCAGGTTTCCTAGCACTGCTTTTTGAATTTTCCCTTTTATTCAGGGGTGGGGATGGTAGTAAAACAGATCACCCCCTCCTGTCACTCACTGTAGAGTTGGGCTCAATCCAGAGATCTACATTAGACTCTGAAGACGATCTCTTTAGGGTGTGTGTGAGCAGAGGGCCAAATGCTTCTGAGGTCAGCTGGGGTTTCCAGACGGCAATAGGTCAAAACTAAAAATAGGAGCATAAAATCTTCTACCCTGGCCCATCCTGTTCGGCAGAGGCTGGTTTCAGAAGAGTCTAGAAGTGGCATTTCCACTTTCTTCAGTTGCTATCCAGCAACCTTAAATCTTCTAGAATCAAATATAGAAAGAATGTTTGTCAAGGGAGCAATGCTGTCACAGTAGAACATACCACTGACATAAACATGAGGGTTAATTACAGCAGGCTGGTCAACCAGTAGCCCCCCCACTGCCCTCTGAGTTATTTCTGACCCATCCTTATGGCTTGGAAAGATTGTGACTGATCTGTTGTCCAGATTTGGATCATATTCCCAAATCTAAATCCTATTTGTATTTTATAAATTCTAATTATTCTTTTTTCTTTCTATTTTCTTTCTCTAAATCCTCTTGTCTATACCAAAAAAAAAAAATTCTAGTTTTTCATTGGCATTTTTTATGTAATTAGATTCAGGCCCATGTCAAAATGTAATCTTGCATTCCTCTTAAATGACTGTGAGTCAGGACAGGGTTTCCTAAGGCAGGGGACCTTTTTTCTTAGGACAGAGGACTCTGAGGGCTCCTGAAGCAGCTTATTAACAATTTGTCAAAGGAATTTTGGTTCCTTCCACCTCTGAGTATCAAAAGTCAACCAAGAGAAGGATCCCAGAATGTTCTGAAAGCTCTAGTAAGCTTGACTCAAATCTAAGGATTTGCCAGTCATTGCCAGGCTCTAGAGATACAAAGACAAATGTGGCACAATACTTGCCCTTAACAAATCTGCATTTTAGTAGGAGGAGACAGATATATGAAGAAGAGTGCCACTAAACATCTCCGGGATTTTGACTGGAGTCAGCCAAGTGAGGGGCAGGTATAAGAGTGGAAGGGGAGGGGCTTCCCTGGTGGCACAGTGGTTGAGAGTCCGCCTGCCGATGCAGGGGACACGGGTTCGTGCCCCGGACCGGGAAGATCCCACATGCCGCAGAGCGGCTGGGCCCGTGAGCCATGGCCGCTGGGCCTGCGCATCCGGAGCCTGTGCTCCGCAACGGGAGAGGCCACAACAGTGAGAGGCCCGCGTACCGCAAAAAAAAAAAAGAGTGGAAGGGGAGGTGAAACACTTCATGGGGGTGTGACCCTTGAGCTGAACCTTCAAATGAAAGATGCTGGTCCCAAGGGCATGTTGGAGAAAAGCATTCTTGGTAGAGTAAGGCAAGACAGAAACATGAGCCATATGTTGTTTGGGGACCAGTCTAGCTGAAGTGTGACTGAAGTTTCATAAAAGAGGCAATCAGAATGGCAAATGGGAGTAGATTACAGTATCTTGACTACCATGAAAATTAAAAATTTTCACTTGTAAGCAATAGGCTAGTAAAGGGATTTTAAAGGTTGAATAATGGCTCTGAACCTGCCCCGGTGGTACCATTTGTTTGTTTCCTAGTTGGGTTTCCTCTCATTCCTGATATATAAGGCAAGTAATTATTGAGCACCTACTAACACAACTACCTGTGCTAGGGGGTGCTACCATCCATTTGTAAAACCACTGGTACTCTTGACTCTTTTGCATTAAACTCTCTATAGTACGTTTTCCCTATTTAGGAATGTGGGAGATATGAGGGCACTATGTTACTAGGACTTCTTGATTTCTCAGTGTTTGCTTACTTGCTAATGATTTTTTTAAACCATCAAAGAAAATCACTAGAAAGGGAAGCATACTGTTTGAAAATGCACTGCACACATTTTTATCTTGTGACTGGGCATGTGACCAAGTGATTTCTCTTGACAGAATGGTTATACACCACTGCACATTGCTGCCAAAAAGAACCAGATGGACATAGCGACAACTCTGCTGGAATATGGTGCTGATGCAAACGCAGTTACCCGGCAAGGAATTGCTTCTGTCCATCTTGCAGCTCAGGAAGGACATGTGGACATGGTGTCACTGCTCCTCAGCAGGAATGCTAACGTGAACCTGAGCAATAAGGTAACCTTTTTTCTTTTCCTCTGCAAAGCATCCAGCGCAACAAAACCTCACCTTCAAAAGATCGCTAAGAAGTCATGAAAAATTCAGGTCAAATAGAAAGTGCAAAGTGTAGTATGCACAAAAGTATGTACCAACATGTTATTTATCATAGGAAGAACTTGAAAAAAATCTGTTTAAACAATAAGAGAATGTTAAGTCAATAACTGCAAAGTCATACTGGTGAGTAACACAGAGCCATAAAAATGAGGTCCACAAAATTGTTCTAGTAACGTGAAGTTTTGTTATAATGTAAAGTCAAAGGGCAACCAGAACATAGTAAATAAGAAGTTGTAGGTTGTAAATAAAAAGTTGTAAGTTGATCTATGCCACAGACATTTGGGGGGTACCTACTGCCTGTCCCAGTTTTAAGTCCTAGGTTACAAAAAGAAACTGGAAACAGGTCCGCCTTCAGAGAGTTCATTTTAATAACAGAAATTTAGAGTAGCTGTCTTACTCCATAGATCAAAAGGTTAGTCTCTGTAGGTAAATTGGCAGTGCCAGGGAACTTTTTAAGTCTCTGTTCCCAGAAGTCTTCAGACTCCCCTGACCTCACATTCGACATCCCCATGGTTAGTGAAGAGCTCTGTGAAAGTCCAGCCCACAGTTACCCAGAGACATGTTAAGGAGGTCACTGCCTCCACTGTGTATAGCAGAGAATTTGGGTTTGCTGACCTGCTTATTAATACCTGAGTCTGAGATCTGCCCAAAATACAAGACAGATATTCCTTAGTCTTCAGATTTAAAAAAACCTGCAAGAGTGTCCCCAAATTCCCGATAATCCAAACTCCCTGTTATTTAGCTTCTCCTCTACAGGGTGGTGATGGCACAGCTATGACATTTCTCAGCCATAGCTCAGATATCGGAGTAGAGCTTCAAGATAGCAGTAGTTTTATGGCAATGAATAATAAGTAGTTTAAATATTTTAATATATGTGGCCTGTGTTTTGTGATCACAGAGGCTTTGAATTTCCTGGGTATGAATCCGAAATCTGACTCCTACTTGACGTGTAACTTGATTGGACAAGTTATGTGACATCTCTGAGCCTCAGTTTCATTCTCTAATAAACAAAGACAACAGTCTTTACTTCCCAGAAATGTCAGGAAGATGACTAACATTCAGCACCTTCTTCTAAGTGGAAAAAGAATAGTTGTCTTAATTTTAGACTTTTCACAGTTTGGGGAAAAGGTTACTCTGCACTAATCTGAATTCCCAAGGTGGTAATTTAACAAATTCTATGAACCAAAAGACATACGTAAGAGAATAGGAAAACCTTTTTTCAGTTTTAGTATCTTGAAAATCCTTTGTGATCATTGCAAACCAAACACAATTTTCTTTTTTTTTTTCTCGTGTACTGATTTGCTTTTGCCATATCTTTCTTTTTAAACATTCCTTTGGAATGTATGCCTCGGCATTAACGGGAATCACGAAGCAATTTCAAGTAGTCATTATAATCAGGATTTGTTTGAGCTGTTGAATTTCTAAGGTTCATATACTAATATATAGACCAGCCTTATAATAGTTTGCTGCAAAATTCAACCTGTCTTAATGAGATGGAGGACGTGGCCTTCTCAAATTGAAGCACATTCTGGCATCCATCAGTGTATTTATTCTTAGGAGCCCAGAATATTATATCTCATTAATTCTCCCAGAGACAATACAAACCTGAACAATTGGTTAACAGGTGAACGTTTTCTATAGGTCTGACACCAAAGTACTGTGTAATAAACATTTTTTTTCCTTTAAATTCCTTTAGCTAACCCATGGCAATGTACATATTGAGCCTTGAATCCACCGTAAAATCAATTTTAAAAATTTTAGGCTGAAAACACTTCAGAAAGAATTTCTCAGTGTCTGCTTCGGTAGGCTAGATCAGCCAAGGGAATTCTGAGGACCAAGAGACATAGCAAACCAAGAAAGCCTGGAGATGCCCAGCCACCTTCCTGAACAAACTCTACATAAGCGAATATATCACCAAGGAAATTCCCATTGGCACACTGCACTTAAGGAACTTTCAAGAACCTCACAGTACCTAGAAATGGTCTAATAAGAAGGCATTTGTAAGTCTTTGCTTCCTTTCTCAGGAGTCATTTTCTGTATCAAGTATTAAATAAGTTCCAGTGTGAAAACAGAAAATCCGCAGAGCTCTATTCAATAAGGACTCCGACAGGTTTTCTGTCCATTTTTCCTAAGCTGCCAGAGTTTTAAACATCAGTTACTCTCCCTCCACCCCTTCCCCCTTCCCCATCCCACTTCCCCATTTCACACTTGCTAAACAATGAATATTAAAAGAAAGATTTAGCTTTCGCGAAAAGTATGATTGAACCAAACACTTGATTGTTTTCACTTCTCTTGCTGCTATTCACCAGCAGTTCCCAGGTTTTTAAGAAAAAGAGCCCGTGAACCTACGTTCCTGCCGAAGTACTAGTGTTTGATCTGGTGCAATTTTGCTTTTGACGTTCCCACTTTCCCACACGAATTCTGCAGACCACAAGTAGCTGTATTTCTTTACACAGCCAATAGAATACGAAGCAGAGCTGTTGCTCTTCCAAGTTGATGGTATTCTCTCTGTGCCCAATAAATGCCATTTTTAAAAAGAGCCATGCTCAAAACCTTTATAAAAGGTTAATAGATAACTTCTGAACTCACACAGGGCTGTTTTAACCATCACATTTTGTTTTTTAAATCATGAATGTAAAAATAGTTTTTTCTTTATTTAATTTATACTATGTTACCGAAAGATGCTTGCTTTTTCCTCTGACTCAGTCGATTAGTGGGTGGATTAAACGCTAGATACTCGACTGGTTATACAAGGATTAAAGGTACAGTAGTTACCTCAAGAAACTCACAGTGGTTTGAAGAATACAGACGAGAAAAGAGTTTAAATGCAGGATTGTGATGCTCTCGACAGAAGTGAGCACGCAGGTGGTTCGCACATAAATAATAACAGTGAAGCCTTTTTCGAGACCAGGGGAGAGAGAGGGAAGCCCAGGAAAGCTGGAGGTGACTCCAGGCCAAAGGTAGAGTGGACAGCACGAATGTCCACGGGGGAACGCGAGAAAGTAGGGCACCAGCCACAGTACATTCCCCCAGCTGTGCTGAGAACCACTCAGTAAGGCTCTTCAGAAGGTTTGGAAAGTCTCAAACTTAGAATAGGGGATTGTGACACTTTTACATAATGTTACAGCTGCAAATATCTGTTGCCTCTAAAGTGGAACGTGGAACATTGTTCTATGATTATGTCAGTGTTTGGGTGGTGCCAGTTTTGGCCCCAGGCTTATTTTTCTTGGATTTCAAGTGAAGGCACCAGTCCTCCTTTTCCTGTTTCCTCTTTTATCCAGTTTGGGTGAGCTTCTTCCAAAAGTCTGTAAAGAGTATTAGAAAGTCAAGAGTGAATGACTCTTCCTGAGTCCTGTCATTAGTTTGATGGAATAGGAGCCCCTAAATAAATACTGTTCAGCATCTCGAGGGTTCTGTGCCCTTCCTGGTGCTGCTTTTGGTTCACGCCTTTCCTCTGACAAATAGGACAGGTTGATGGCCTTGCTACACAGATGCAGAGGAGGAGAAAGAGGCCGTTAGGACTCGGGACATTAACTTGTGTGCTCATAATGGATGAAAGAAAAGAATCTGGACGCCCTTACACCAGCTTACGTTCTCTTAAATGTTATTTATGAAAAATGCAGCTACAGAGGATTTTTAAACCAGGGTGCAGTCTTGGTGATTCTTTTCTTGGCCATTGGGATAACCACATAGCCTGTCCATTCTGTGGTAGAGTCAATTTCAAGTATCTGGTCTCATTAAATGACCTGGAAATTTTCACATTTCACATTAAATGACCTGGAAATGAGACAGCATTTATATAACATTTCACAGACCATTTTTCCTACCCAGAAGCAACATAAAGAAAATATTTGTCAGCCTAGGGTATTAATATTTAATGGAGAAAATGATATCATCATATGTCAGTATTCAATTTATAAACAGTTTTTATTTTAATAAATTTTTCTAAAGCTAGTCATGCGTTGGTAGTGCGTTAGAACTCTTGCATAATTTTGTAAAAAATAAAAAGACTCTATTTTAAAAAAGTGAACACTGAAATACATAAGAGGAAAATGATATAATGTCTGGGATTTGCTTTAAAATACTTCCGCAAAGCAAAGAACAAACAGGAAGTAGGGCTGGATGAAGCAAACGTAGGAAAACCTTGATAATTGCTGCATCTGTGATCAGTACACAAGGTTCAGCCCATTCCCTCCACTTTTGAGGATGTTTGAAATTTTTCATTAAGCCTGCAGATAACCATGTTGTCACATGCTAGTATATAAACTTACTCTATAGATTTTTTTTTTTTTTTGCGGTACGCGAGCCTCTCACTGTTGTGGCCTCTCCCGTTGCGGAGCACAGGCTCCGGACGCACAGGCTCAGCGGCCACGGCTCACGAGCCCAGCCGCTCCGCGGCATGTGGGATCTTCCCGGACCGGGGCACGAACCCGCGTCCCCTGCATCGGCAGGCGGACCCTCAACCACTGCGCCACCAGGGAAGCCCCTATAGATTTTTTTAAACATAGAAATTGTAGACTTACTCTTCTTGAAGTCCTAAATTGTTTCTCCAGCACGCCTGTGTGTCCTCCATCCCTCCTGTAAGATGACCACTTTCATCTTTTGCAGAGTGGCCTGACCCCACTCCATCTGGCCGCTCAAGAAGACAGAGTGAATGTGGCCGAAGTCCTAGTAAACCAGGGGGCACACGTGGACGTCCAGACAAAGGTACACAAAAAGATGGTGCCCACCCAGAGTGTCATTGTGACTCCTTGCATGGAACAAATTCAATTTTCTGGGGGAAAAATAAATCTTCCATCATATCTTTTGTACACAGTATTTCAAACGTGTATCTGTACAAGGGACACCAGTGTCTCTGGTTGTGGTGTCCCAGGTGCTTTTACCTTTACTGGCCTGAATACTTTATGTAGCTGCATATTGCTGCCTCCTGTGTTAATGCAATTTTTAAATCCTTGTTACAGCACATCTGCCCATCAAGGGCAGAGTGTGAAAGCTTGTACCTTTTTTAATTTTTGTGACTGAGTTTTAAGAAATGCATACAGAAAAAGTTGTCAGTAATTGATGACTTCTAACTTTGTTCAGGCATAGTCTATGGAAGAGGATACATTAGGTTTTATTCAACTGCTACTCACTTGCTAAATTTCTTGTGGTGTATATGATCGCTAGCAACTCCTTCCCTCTCTCAGCCAAAATAGTTATCTTTTCAAAAAGAAATTTCTGATTAATCTCATAGAATGCCGCCATTTCAAACTCACATAAGACGAATGGGTGTTTTGTGTCATCATCAAAGATAGGACTTCATATCAGTCTTTCTCTGAATATTTTCTTTCAGCACTTAATTTTGTTACTCTTCATATCAAACTTGTATCTACTTCAAAATGTAACTTTGTTTCTGTGTGTCACATTTTTGACACAAAAATGAATACTTGTTACCTGTTATACTGTGAATACGAACATTTCTGTGTATAATATAGATGGATTCTGAGGTGTGTGGACAGATATTGAAGATATTAATAACATAGAAGGGTCACCAGGAATTAGCCAGGTAAAAAGGTATTGCAGACATCAGAATCAGGCTGGATTTACGGGACGAGCACAGGAAGCAGACCTGAGTAGACTACACCCTTTGCACCGTGTTCTGACTCTCTAGGGCTGTGGCTTCTCCACCCATACTGCATTCTATTAGAAAGAATCTGCCCAAAAGAGACGTGACCAGGCAAGATCCTTTATGCTTTTTAAACTCTGTATTAAAATAGTGAAGCAAATATAATGGTCCCTGGCTGGAGTAGTCTTAGATAGAGCTGTGACGCAGGTGGCCTCCCTCACTCCCATTTCTGAAATGCCTCGTGCCCTTCAAGTCCCCATGGCCTCTTTGGTAGCCTAAGTGCCCAGTTCTCTCTATTCTGTTTCTTTCCAAATTTTTCATTCCAAAAGAACCCCTTAGCCCCGAATGCCTTCCTAGATAGCTGAATGTTTAACAGGGAAACCAGTAAAGGCAACAGTAGTGGCTGAATGGTTTCTTGTTACTTTCCATGAAAATACAAGCATTTTTCAATCTGAAAAGCTCAGACTGGATTTAGCTTATATTCTTTACTGTGCTTGTACACTTTCATCAGAAAAGAAATCTTTACTTCAGAAATTTGCAACTTCATGGTAAATAGATTCACCCTGTGTTGTTCTATTGACACACACACACACACATACACACACAGACTTATAAACATTTTATTTGGTTCCCTCTCCCTTTATAAATGAAAAATTTGGGAAGGCAATAGCAGGGTTCTGTTTCTCAGTGCTTTTTATCTCAACACATCCAACATATACACCACCAAAATTCAGTCAGGGATTAAGGCAGTGATTCTCAAGGGCAGGTTGGGAGGAGAAGAAATGGTGCTGTGAACCTTCTGTTCTAGATTTGCAAAAGCAACCCCACGGTTTAAGAGTATTGGGTCTCCACCAGGGTTTCTTTCTAACCCTGTCCAACTCAGGTCACAGTCTGTAATCATTTTTGTACTCAGTATAATATTTCTGAAGCATGTACCTTTTCCTGCCCTTTACAAGTGATGTAGTTCCGAAAGCATCTCTCTGTCTCTTAAAAAAAATTAGAGACAAAAAAATCACTCTCTCATCCTTTTTCTTCTCAGCAAAGATCACAGCACCAAAAAGAAGTGAGGCTATGATTGTCCCATAGTTGAGTAGAGCAGGAGTGCAAAGAGACGGGTTGCTTGGATTTGCTTCCTAGCCTTGTAAATAAGGAGTTGATTGTATCCCATGAGCTTCCAAATTCTTCCTGGTAAAGATGACATCCCCAAGCAGCCGACAGGTAGAATGTATGGTACCATTTGAGTCACTGGCTTCAATTTTAAAATAGTAATAATTAAATTATCAGGAGCTCTTTTCTCTTGTGGGGAAGAGACCAGAACATCCTGGTAACAGCGGTGCAGCCTTCCCACTGGCCTGCTGACCCACCATATCTCCACCTCACTTTGTATTTGAAGTTCACCAAATCAGTTCAGACTAAATTGTGCGGCTGGCACAGGGTTTAATGCTCAGTGTCGTACAGCTGAAATGAAGCCACTTCTTTCGCTTTTTTTTTTTTTTTTTTTTTGCGGTATGCGGGCCTCTCACTGTTGTGGCCTCTCCCATTGTGGAGCACAGGCTCCGGACGCGCAGGCTCAGTGGCCATGGCTCACGGGCCCAGCCACTCCGCGGCATGTGGGATCTTCCCAGACCGGGGCACGAACCCGTGTCCCCTGCATCGGCAGGGGGACTCTCAACCACTGCGCCACCAGGGAAGCCCTCTTTTGCTTTTCAAAAGGAGAATCTCTGGAAACATTTTATTTAGACCACCCCAAAGCACACCAAAGCACTGATTCTCGGAGGTACTGATAAGCAAGCAAATAGTTAAATTAGCTTTCTTTTAATGTGTGTAAAATCATGAAAAATGTTTATTTGATACATAGTCATTTCACATTTGTTTCTAGAGCTCTTACTAGTTGTTCGATTCTTACCTGGGTGATACGTTCCTTGTCCTCACAGAATTCATAGTCTAGAGAGGGAGACACAACAATAAAAATGTAATAATAATAGCAAAATTTACTACTCATTTTCCCTGTGTCAGATACTGTTCTGAGCATTTACCCTTATTAATTTGTTTAATCCTTATGACTGTCTTATAAGGTTGATAAAATTAGTATCCCTATTTTACAGAAACTGAGGCACAGAAAAGGAATTACTCATGTAAGGTAACATAGCTAGCTGGTCCAAAGCCTGATTTTGACCCCATGTATAAATAAATAAATTTAGAGTTATTGGCGTTAACTGAGTTATTTACGAAGGTGGGAGTATAGAAGGGGTCTATGGCTGGTTCAGCATCACAGGAACATGAGAAAAAATTGGGGGCACGCCCCAAGATACTGCTAGATAATTAAGATGATCTCAGAGGGCCTTGATGTGCCATGCTTAAGTTTTTAATCCTGTTTGTACTGGTAAGCCTTGAGAGGTTGTAAACAGAAGATGATAAGATCAGATATCTGGTTTAGAAAGATCCTAGGAGACAATGCAAAGAACGAGCTGGTAAAAGAGCTTGGAGCAGGGGCCATTAGAAGGCAATTGCTGAGGTCCGGATGAAGAATAGAGAAGGCCTCAAGTAAGGGGCAGATGGGATGTTGGTAAACAAGAGAGAAATTGAAGAAATACTTAACAAGTACAAACAATTAGACTTGAGACCATGTGTATATAGGGACTAAGGAAAAGTGAGAAATTCAGGAAGAATCTGAGGATGTGGCTCTGTAACCAGGTGATCATAAATCCCATTCAGCGAGACAGGAAGTGAAGGAGAAGAAGCTGGTTGGAGAAACAGCACCCTGAGTTCTGTATTGGGTGTGTTGATTCTTACATGACCTAGGGGCTCTCTAGGTAGAGACAGCTAGTAAATGACTAAAGCTTTGGTCTGGGATACAGGAGGGGCGTCTGGACTAAAGATACCGATTTGGACGTGGTCAGAATAAATGTATCCGTTGAAATTGTGAATGTGGACCTGATCGTTGAGGAACAGTGTGGAGGAAATCAAAGACAAAATCCCTAGGATCAACGATATTTTAAAGTGGTTGGAGGAGGTGGAAGGAAGCAGGCCTGACTGAGGGCAGGAGGGAAATGGGGAAAGAATATGACATGGATGCCAAGTAACTGAAGACTGTCAAGGAGAGTGTGACACAGAAGAGAAAGCACGAAAACGCGTGCACTGGAGTGGCACCGGGGTTATTAGAAGGCAGTTTCACTGGAGTAGTGGAGACGGTGAGATATGGGGAAAATGGAAGGGAATGGTGAATAAAAATGGGGTTTTTTTCAAGAAGCTTTAAGAGAATATAGACCCAGGAAAGGAGAGAAATATTTGAAAGGAGTGATTATTGTTTCCAAGTTTGGAAGTATGGCAGTATGTTAGTAGGCTAAGAGGAAGGTGCCAGTAGAAAGAGAAATGGTCAAAGAAGTTATAAGGGATGTCAGAAGTGGGATAGGCTGGGTTAGGGATGGAGATGACAATTGCCTTATTTTTCTTCTATCATTACGGAAATACTCTTTCATAATCTTTGACTCTTCTGTAGTCCCTGAGAGGATCTTTGTTTTGTTTTCCATTTTAACCCCACACTAATTTTGGAGGTGAACAATAAAGTAAAAAATTCACAGGAGAAATTTTTTCAACCTTTTTTCCCTTTTTAGCGTGCTAAGACGTTCAACTGTAGCACCTTCAGGAAATGAGATACTGAGAGTTTACTTTCAGAGTTTGTTTTCTAAAGGAAAAATCTCTGTCTGTTACTAAATGCAACTTTTCAATCTCAATCAGTTTAATTGAAGTAAAATTATGAAAAAGCTATTTATAGAAATATCTTACAGCCTGCCATATTATTAAGTAATATTTAGTGTAACATGTGACAAGAGAAAGGTATTCCCTAAAACAATAGTATCAACATAAAAAAAATTTGAAAACAAAAAATTTAACTGAAATAAAATGAGGGAATAATTGTAGTTGTGAGTGGGTGTGTTCACTGAGGAAGACTATGACAAGTGCAAGGAAGGGCAAAGACAGACGAGAGAGAGCACAGGTTTAGGAGGTGAGGAAATAGTGTGGATTTCCTGCTCCCGCTTTCTCAAACCATGTTGCATAGGGAGGCACCTAACTACTGCTCAGTAAGATCTCATGCTCACGTACCATAGATCAGAAACAGCAGCCTGAATATTCCGTCTGTACCTGTTTGCTCTTCCTACACAAATACACCCTTTCAGTATTGCCTAAAGAAGATGCCTTAACTTCAGCTTGTAATGATGGTATAAGTAGGCAACAGTGAAAAAAGCAAGCAAAGACTGCTCAGTTATCTGAACTATGACTGTTCCTTAGTTATTAAAGAAAGAAGAGTTGGTCTTTCCAAAATGTATTGCCACTAGTTGAAGGGAATTTCCCAAATCACATCTCTCTGGGCATGTGCAAGGTGCCATTTACCATGGGAACTTTGTGACCCTCAATGAATAGAGGAGCCCCAATTTTGGTTTCTCTGGATGAAAACTAAATCTTCCTGGCATGCATATGTATTTTTAATAAAATACTGTAGTATTTGTGGAGCAGCAAGAAGACCAATGTCTTAGAGCAGCGTGAACAAGGGAGAGACTCGTAGGAGACGAGCTCAGAGATGTAATAGATGGGAGGTGGAGAGCAGGGTGCAGACCAACCATGTCCTAACAGTCCACTATAATGACTTAGGGTTTTACTAGGAGTGACAGTGAAGCTATGACGATGAGAAGAAACTGTACATTAAGGTACTTAGAATAATTCAATTTCTTTTAAAAATCTGATCAATACAGTAGCAGAGTAGCCATTGGAAAGTGTTGCATCATTGCTTAGGCATGTTGACCAGAAACTTGAAGAGTTCCTTAATATTTAAAATCTTAAAATATTTTCTGTAATCTTTTGGTTTGGGATCAGTCCTCTGCCACTAACACTGGGAATAATGTTACTTCAGTCAATTAAGCTAATTGTACTGAGAACTGGTAGGAGAAAACTGTTTTCATGCCTCCCTCCCTAAGCAGCATTCTGATTCCTAACACAGTATCCTGAGTTCCTCAGTACCAAGAAAGAACCCTGCAAAGCAGGCAGGTGAATTCTGGTCCCCAAAATGGGATACCCTTCATCGTGCATGAAGCAGCTTTAGGGGTCCTAAGTCAGACTCATATACATGTGGTTACGGTGAGTTTATCAGCAGGGTCTGGTCAGTGTGGCTGCACTTACGGTTCCGTTGATGGAATAGAATCTAACCAGAGTCAGTTCTTTAGGGCAGCACATCCCCGCTGAGGTGTCTTCACCTTCCACAATCAGCTGTGTTCCGGACGTCCCCTTTTCAAATTCAAATACACCCATTTGCTGGAGTGTCTTAGTTAGTTTAGGCTGCTATAACAAGAATACTATAGCCTGGACAAACCTTTATTTCTCACAGCTCTGGAGGTTGGGAAATCCAAGATCAAGGTGCTGGTAGCAGGTAGAAAAGAGAAGAGGCAGGCTGTCTCCTTTCTCTTCTTATAAGGGCACTAATCCCATTCATGAGGGCTCCACCCTCATGACCAAATTACCTGCCAAAGGTTCCGTCTCTAAATACCATTACACTGGGATTAGGGTTTCAGCATACAACTTTTAGGGGATACAATCATTCAGTCTGTAGCACAGAGTCACCATAAAGACACACTAATGCCATCACATACGAGATGCAGATACTTGAAAACATGGACCCTTGACCCATGACCATTTAGAAATATTAAAAGTCTGTGCTCTCCCTTTCAGTGATCTGGTGCTGCCAGTGTCATCGTAAACAGAGATTGGCCATGGGCACTGAAATTGTGTGGTGGAGTCTGTTACATTATGGCCATCTAGAAAAAATATCTGGAATATCCTTTTTAAAAAAAATAATTATCTAGAATATATGTGTGTGTGTGTGTATCTATATATACATACACATACATACACACACGATATATTTTTTAATAGGTGGAATTTATAGCCCCTCAGGGGTCAGTGGATATTAATTGGAGAAGCAATCCATTGCTTTGTCTAAATGAGTGGTTTTCAAAGTGTGGGGCTCTACCTAGGTAGGCAGAAGACTTTAACTAGAGCATCTATTCCTAGACCAAGTTCATATATCGCAGACCTCCTAAACTCACACCAGCCTCTCCTGCTTCAGTGTTTCTATCCTTCCTGTCTCCGTCATGCATTCTGATCATCATCTACTGCTTCCATGATCACTTAACCACTTCACATTTTTTAACCTCAATTTTATGCCTTGAGAGAGTAGAGTGTTGAATAAATGCTAGTCCATGTCTGTCCATTGAGCACGCTTCTGACCCTCTGCAAGAAGCCACTGGATCCTTCTGTCTAGGCTGTCGTTCCATCTTTTCGTCCTATCTTGAAAAGTTGTTATGGAAATAAAATGAGCCGATGCTAGAGCGAGCACTTTGGGACATTTAGTAACTATTTCCATGTGAGGTGGTATTGTTATTTATACCTTAGATTAGCTCTGTCAATGACATTTGTTTTATATAGGGAAAAAAAAACGCTTTCTGCCTCGTTAAGAAAGGTTATTTCTTAATAAAGTTTATATATATAATTACAGATGGGATACACACCACTACATGTGGGCTGCCACTATGGAAACATCAAGATTGTTAACTTCCTGCTCCAGCATTCTGCAAAAGTGAATGCCAAAACAAAGGTAAACTCCTTTCTCCTTTGTATCTACCAAGTCATTGATCTCGTGTCCAAGGAAGTAAGAGTCTTTTCTTCCATCTTCCTTCTACAGAATGGGTATACGCCGTTACACCAAGCAGCTCAACAGGGACACACGCATATAATCAATGTCTTGCTTCAGAACAATGCCTCCCCCAATGAACTCACTGTGGTAAGAGCAAAGGGCCAGCTAAGTGATGAGGGGGGAGCTGGGCCTGGGTGCTGGTGCCTTCTTACATTTTTATTAGACAGGTTTGCTTTTTGACTTTCTATGTTTAGTAGGCATAAACAGAGCATTCAGTAGAATGAAGGGAAAAGGACAATAACTGTATTGTTGTGAGTTGTCCAGAGACAGAGATGTGATTAATGTTTCCCACGTAAAAACTACAAATCGGGCTTCCCTGGTGGCGCAGTGGTTGAGAGTCCGCCTGCCGGTGCAGGGGACACGGGTTCGTGCCCCGGTTCCAGGAGGATGCCGCATGCCGCGGAGCGGCTGGGCCCGTGAGACACGGCCACTGGGCCTGCGCACCCGGAGCCTGTGCTCCGCAACAGGAGAGGCCACAACAGTGAGGGGCCCGCGCACCGAAAAAAAAAAAAAAAACTACAAACCCACTGCTACCCAGTAGGGAGTACAGACATAAGAAGAAGCACGTGTTTGTTTCCTTGATTACATAAAACTTTAAAAAGCCTCTCGGATTCCATGTGTAGCAGCCCAGACTCTGCTCTATGAGTAGGGACAGGTTAGGTGGGTTTTGTGCAAGGTATGTCTTTAATGAAACAGCGTTTTGGGTATGACAGTGGGAAAGGACTGGTGAGACACTCACCTTACGTTTGTAAAGGCAAACGTGTGGAAACACACAGGCGCTGAGACACGTGGAATGACTTGTAATTCCTTGACCATGTTTCCCTCTTCCCAGAATGGGAACACTGCCCTGGCCATTGCCCGGAGGCTTGGCTACATCTCAGTGGTGGACACCCTGAAGGTGGTAACTGAAGAGACTGTGACCACGACTGTGAGTAGTGGATGCCAGACCTTGTAACCCCGTTACCCCAAGAGCCAGTTCTCAGACTGTAGATTTTTCCAGGCTTTGGGGAGATGAACCTTTTTTCCTCCATTCAGAAACTAAGCACCGTATTTCCAAATGCTGTCACCTCCTTGATGGCAGTCAGCAAAGCAAAACTCTCATTTCTGATGGGAAGAAAAATTCAAAACACTAAAAATACCTTTTCAAAAGTTATACCTTTCAAAAAGCTACAGAGGTTTTAGTTCCATAGAAAGCTGAATGTATTTCTTTATTTTGATATAAAAAAAATTTTTAATGAGATGTTTTGACATCCTTCTTTGACAGTGCAAGAAAGATGAAAACTCTAAGTTGGTTCTTTAAAATATTTTAACTCACAAATGATAATGGGTACATTGTCATCATTATTGTAAAAATATTTTGGCCTTGTTAGAGAAACACTAGAGGTGGGTTCCAAATCAGTTTTTCCCACCACGCTCGCTTCTCTTCCATTCACCTATTGGAGTTTTCCTAGGAAAAACAATCGCTTCTTTGGAACCCCGTCTGGTGCCTTTGAACTCCGTCAGGATTTGGTAACTTTGGAATCAAGAGCAGATATTGCCCCATGTCAGAGGTTTACTTGAGTTATTCCTGACTGCGTGACTCAACACACAGGCCCGAGACTGAGTCCGTACAGTGTCAGTTTAGGACTCTGCAGCACTTGGAAGTATCAGCTGTGCTTCCTTTTCTCATATGCCACCTTCCAACACGAAGAAGGCATAGTTCACGTCTGCAGTCTGGATATACAGTGCTTCGTACAAAACACCATGGCTCGAAGGACTCTGTTGCTACCTGCCGGTTGAGTTATTTGGCTGTGTACAGGTTTCAGAAGCTAAAACTTCAGCCTGCTGATCACAAAAGAGAAATGTTGTAATTTGCAAAAGAGAAAACAGTAGCTTTAATGGACTAGAGCAATGGTTGTCAACCAGGGCACGTTTCTAACTTTAAGATATAGCTGGAATAGAAATAAATTCCTACATATTGCTTTCATATACCTCTTGAGTATTTCATCATCTTAAAATCTATCATTAAATTCTCGAGAAAAGAGTTTAAATAAATAATGTTTCTTAACCTTAATTTTATAGATATGCCATGTAACTCTCTTGAGAGTAGGAAAGGAGAGAAGGACAAGGTATTAAATAACAACCAAGTGTCACCATGCTATAAAAGACTTGAAGTCACTGAAATAAATATGTGAAACCTCTGTTTCAATGTTAGAGAATTGCAGATGGTATAATAGTTCAAAATATAAATCTTATTTGATTAAATGTCAATGATTCTCTCACCTGTTAGGAAAGTTCAAAATGTTTCTTTGATATCAAAAAGAGCTTTAGGAGAAAATAAAGTTACAGACAGGGAAAGTAAAGTTACAGCCTCAGGAAATGGACTGAGAGAAAAGGGTTTTAGGGCTCCGGTTCCTAGTGAAAGAATGTGCACGGGAGTCATGCCATTTCTCACTCAACATCACCAGCTGACTTGCTAGGTGACTTTCTGCCAGAGAGAAAAGATTACTCATGCTAACAGGAAGGTCCAGTTTGCCTGGTGAAGTAAATGAGGCTTCCGCCAAATGAAACGCTCACATTGACTAGAAAAGAGGCCACTGAAGTCCCTAAGACCTAGTCCAGCACTGTGGTATTTGAGACTTTATTTCAAGCGGAGACACCACCTTGTCAGCCCTGCCTTTGCAGTTGCCTGTCATCTAGCTCAGAGAGGACTGACGGGATTCAGGGTGGGGTGTGTGCCCTTACGCTAACTAAGCACAGTGCAGCCGCCCGCAGGTGGGTCTCTGTTCAGACGTTATGGAAGCCCCAGCGACCATTGTCTCCTTAAGCAGGCGTCAGTTCTTCAGCAGCCTTAAAAAGAACACTGCATCTTTGATAGGAGTGCCATGTTGGATGTGGCAATTCTGAGAAAGATGCTTTAGTTAATGACATTACAATCACGGCAGAGGAGGAAACTGAGTGGCTAGAAGCGGATATCCAAAAGATACGAATTAAGCTATTTAAATTGCATTGTTTAAAATTCCCTCAGTAGCAACGAGCAGAGTACTTCTATCACTCAGATGTTGGTTTCTAACAGCCTTCTCTAATGGAGGGAACCAGGGCTCCTTGGAGAAATGACAAAATCCACAACTGGGGCAGGAAATATACAAGATGAGCCTGCAACCTCTGGTAGTGCCAAAAAGTAAGGCCCTCCCTGTAAAGAAATAAATAAACATACATACACAAAATGATGGGACGTGTTAAAGGGACACGGGAAGCCACTGAAAGACTTCCCAATGGCCAAAGCCAGAACAATTTGAACCAAAGAAATAAAATGGTATGGGGGTATAGTGCAAAGTATAAAATATATATCCGTGAGTTCATTACTGATACGGATGAATGATTGAATGACTATGGAGGAAGAGGCAGATTTCTCAGGCAAAAGAATTCTGAATAATTTACGAAAATACTTTCCCCTCCAAGAGGTGGCTCACGATTCCCCACTGCTCAAGTGTGTCTGAGTGTAGTAACTTCCCTCATAAGAAAACAGTGTGGAGAGCAGGGGAAATAGAGTAGATTACAGGGGAGAAAGCTGGCCAACACTGCTTCAGCCACATGACCAAGTACAACGTCAACCCTGGTGAATCATGTTGACAGTATATGCCCTTGATGTGATGTAACGAAAATGACATTTTACCGCAGTGGTTTTCCTCCCCAAAACATATAACCCCAGTCTAATCAATGAGAAAAACATGAGACGAATCTCAATTAAGGGACATTCTACAAAATACCTGACCAGTTCACCCCAAAACTGTCAAGGTCATTAAAAACAAGGAAAGTCTGAGAAACTTAGCCATAGGAGCCTAAGGAGATTGAGAACGAAAGATAACACGGTATCCTGGATGGGATGCTAGCACTGAAAAAGGATATTTGGCAAAAGCTAAGGAAATCTGAATAAAACATAGACTTTAATTAATAATAATAAATCAATATTGGTTCATGAATTGTGACAAAGGTACCATGCTAATATGTGTTAATCATAGGGAAAACTGGGTGAACACTCTCTACTATCCTCATAATTTTCCTGTAAATCTAAAACTGTTCTAATATAAAATATTCATTTTTTGAAAATGTTCAATGACAGTATTACATGCTGGAAAAAATGCAAAATAATGCTTTACTTCAACATGACTTGTACCATTAGTCTTTTATACGCTCAGATTAAAAGAGGATTCATTTTCAAACTAAAACATATCAAGTCATTAATATTTTCAAACAAGTAATACCGTCAGTGTTCTTTGGATGGATACAATCTATCTAGGCGAAAAGTCATCAAAGAGCAATTAAAAGATTCAGTATAGCCTTTGCTCTGTCATACTGTATACCATTCTTTAAAATTTTGTGGCAGTTAAAATTATCCTGCAAATGCATTACCTCTAAAATATTTTCTGCAAACACATGGTTGTAAAAGTTATTGGAATCTCAATATTGTGATTTATTCTAGAAATTAAACGTACACATAGGAAGGGAAAACGAGAAGGGGCTGGCTTGGCACAAGCAATAAAGACAGGCTTCTTGCCAATCATTTGGCTTATCAACAGCTAAGACTTTTAGTTGGATGGGGTGGCAGACCCATGAAGACCGTGAAGAAGCATAGCAAGGAACTAAGGGAGGCAGTATCTCTCTCCTTTTTTTCCTTTGAAAAGCTTTATTGCGGACCTAAAGCTTTTAAGCTGGTGCGCTTTGCCACTAGAATTCTTTCACCTTGTATTCGTTCTCTGCCATGTATATGATGAGGAACTCAGTGCTATGAAGGCATAATTTTGATGTCATTTTGTATGAGGGGGCCTTCAAGATATTCAACACACAAATCCCACAGTAAACCAACAGATTAATTTAGGAAGAAATGAAGAGCCTCGGTAAAATATCCTGTCTGCTCATACTAACATGACTGCTTTCTTTGTTACCAGACTGTCATAGAGAAGCACAAAATGAATGTTCCAGAAACGATGAATGAAGTTCTTGACATGTCTGATGATGAAGGTATGAAGACCTCCTTTGAGTTCGTAGTAACAAAGAGTGACTTTGTATTTTTTTCCTGAAGAAAATTCATTGCAAAATGTTTTTAGAAGCATTAATATGTTTCGTTGTAGTATCAAGAGCATGCATTTTTCACACTTACATTGTTCACTTAAATCATGCAGTTCGTAAAGCCAACGCCCCTGAAATGCTCAGTGATGGCGAATATATCTCAGATGTTGAAGAAGGTATTTGTGAATTTTTATTGTGATAAAATTTAACTACCAGCTTTATCTTCCATTTCTTATCTTTGAAATGTAACCCTTCCTTGAGTTACTAACTTTTCATTTTATCTTGCAATTATTAATTAACGTATCATTTAAACAACATGTATTTGGTATCACTGACTGTCTTCTTTTAGTCTCTTTGAACCCCCTCTCCTTGAACGCATTTTGCAATTTGAAAATGCAAGTGTTACTATCTGGACTACTTTCTTACTATTTGTTTCTATTAAGCATAAAAATTGTTTTTATTGTTTACATTTGAAAATCTAGATAGTAAAATCTGATTAATATTCATATCTAAAATATTTTTTTTAATAAGAGAGGGTGTATAAGGGAAGGGATCAAATGCCCATTCTAAGATGTACTCTAAGCTTTGCAGTGAAAGTTGCTTTTGAACTTGAACTCATAATGAAACCTCAACCCGAACAAAACTGCTTTCAAAATGTAAGTTTTCAATATTGATTTCATGAAAGAGACAAATTATAGATGACTGTAGCTATTCTTCATGTGCTTAAAAGAAACTACTAGTTTTCTGCCTTACTTAAAAATCAGTGCGTATGACCAGGTCATGTTATGTAGTTATATTAATGAATGACATCCTTATTGTTCTTTGGAAAACTAGCATTTTTACAGTAAATAAATATGATAAAGATGGCAAATTTTTGACCTTTTTACTGAAATAATGAAACGTTTACTTAGAGTAGAATTTATATTATATTTATGTTTCTTTTCTCTATCATTTGACTCTCCCAGTGTTCTGATTGCTTCTCCATTTTCCGTCTCTCGTGTTGTATTTTTCTCTTGGATCAGTCTTAGTGCAGCTAGTCTTTCTCTGCCTCTGGGTTGTCTGTATTGTAATTACCGGTTCCTTCTTTGATTTGTCCAGATTTCGTTGGAAACCTAAATAGTGGGAAAGCCTACCTGATCCAAAGTCACTTTAGCTTTTTCAGTTCCAGTGACTGCCAAGTGTTAAGTGCGTTGTAGCCAGGGATTGCCCGCCTAGGAGAGCTAATGTCTTGGTGGTCATTTAGGGACCTGAAAGTACCTGTCACATTGTTTGTAAATGTTGTTTTGATAAATATTAAAGGCGTCTACTCATCATTTTTCTTTCTTTTTCTGTAAACCATCAACTATATGTTTACCTCTGTTTATCCCCCAGTGGATAATATTTGCATCATCGTTAGGACTCTACGAGTAACGTGCCTTACTGTCATATTATATTTCGCTGCTTTCTTATGCAACATTTTCAGAGTAATTTCACCTGTGCAGAAGATAAAAGGAAAGTGATGTTCTCACAAAGATGCATACACTCACAAAATATGGTGTCAAATGAAATTATTATGAGATATGACAGTCACAGACCTAAAAATTTGCTAGTGCCTAACAAGATATCCCCAAATAGCTGCATTGATGAGAGGCCAAGTTTGAATGGACCATGTAACAACCCTATACGTGTGGATAACTCATTTCCAAAACGAAGAAGTTTTGAATCTCTTCATTTGAAGCTATTCCATTTAGCTGTTTAACTAGAAATGACCATCATTTCCTTTAGATTGATCTCAGCTTGGGAATTTGAAATGAATAAGCAAATTTTCCTTCTCATTTTATCCATCTTTCTTTAAACTTAGCCCTTGCTTTATGGATGTGTCCGGGGGCTGTTGGAATAAAAGGGCTCTTGACTTCATAACGTTGTAGCGTTTAATGTTGAAAGGGAGTTGGTTAAAGGTCACTCAGTCTGAACAACCGTCACCCAGTGCTGGAATTACCTCTGTTACGAGGTCCTGTGCCCAAATGCCTCCATGAGGGGAATTGCCTAATTCCCAGACTGCCTATTCCATGTGAACAACTCTGACTTTAAAAATTCTTCATTTTAGGGAGCATCCTTGTCACCGATTCAGGCTTTAACTCAGTGATTCAGGCTCTGATCTCTTTGGAACTATTGACAACAAAATACTTTATGTAGTGGGTCAAAATCTTTGGATACATTATTTATAAAAACGTATTTTAAAAATTCTAAAAAACTTAAAATAATTGTCAGTAGGTATAGGTTTGAGATATAATAAAGCACTAACGTTTCATCAGATATCATGAGAGAGTCAAGCTCACCTCAGCTTTGTACCCAAATCAGTGCCTAATGGAAGCCCCAGCAAAGTGAAATCCACATATTTTAGAGAACTCAAAGGGCAGGTTAGTAACCTGTAGTCCAAGTTCTCCATTATCCTGATGAGAAAGTAAAGCCCAAATAAATGTTGAGTGACTTACCCAACCAGGTTAGTGGCAGAGTGGGACAAGAAGACAGATGTGAAAGTCTGTGGAATTAGGTCACCTCTTTCATAGCTACTTGAATGTGACCTGTGTTCTTATACATAGAACCCAAGAGTGAATTTTTTTTATTGGGGGAAATGTCCTATAGGACCTCTTCTCACTGAATGCTTTGGACTACCCTGATCTTCTGGTCATCGTAATAAATAAATCAGACTATTATGTTTTTAGCTTTACGGATCTGGAAAGAAGCCTTGGAGATTACCTTGCCTCCAGGTCCTCCAAGGGAGCGGTGACTGTTACGCAGAAATTGTCCTTCACCTGAAATTTTATCATTTTACAAATACCTGTTAAATCCTAACATCCAGCCAGCGTTTTGCCTGATATCTCTCTGCTTGCAATTGACCTTTCAAACAGACATTACATAGTTGCATGCTACTCTCGGCATAAAGTCAAAATGAAATACCAGACGCAGAGACCTAATCTTAGTCTCTGGTGTATCCCCAGAACCTAGTACAGGGCCTTGCACACAGCAGCTCTTCAATATGTGTTTGCACAGCTGCATCCAAGAGGAGGGAGACTGAAAGGACAGGATAGTCTTACAGGTTTCTGAGAACAGGCAAGATGGAGAAAATTTGCTTCCTTGCTCCCTTTTCCTGCCTTTATACCCCTTCTCACTGAGACAGCCCTAGGCTACGTATTGACTCGATAAACAGCTTTCTAATGACTCTCCCAAGGGGTGTCTGCATCTCAAAGAATAGTTGGTGAATTTAAAAGAATTTCCAGCTCGGGCTTCCCTGGTAGCACAGTGGTTGAGAGTCCGCCTGCCGATGCAGGGGACACGGGTTTGTGCCCCGGTCCGGGAAGATCCCACATGCCGCGGAGCGGCTGGGCCCGTGAGCCATGGCCGCTGAGCCTGCGCGTCCGGAGCCTGTGCTCCACAATGGGAGAGGCCATGGCAGTGAGAGGCCCGCGTACCGCAAAAAAAAAAAAAAAAAAAAGGAAGAGGAGTGCCAGAGGATATGGAGAGAGAGTGGTGAACAATGGAGAGAGAAACCAGACGAGTGAGTTCCAGCAGACGCCCTGGGAGAAACTTGCCTGGGAAGGTCCAGTCAGATGAGCACAGGCCATTTGGGAATCCCTGCTGACCTCATCAACTGCCACGTCCAGGACTTCGTGGATTCAGACCCAGAATAAGTAGCTCTCATGTAGTGTATTTTTTCTCCTCAAGAAGCTGTGACAGATGAGCAGCTGTAGCAGCCTGTGGCGTGAGGGGGAACAGGAATTGTTGAAGAGCTGTCAGGGAATTAGCATGTTTGTTGACTAAGGTCAATAGGTGGTTTCTTCATTTGCCCAAAACAGGTTGTAATTTTGTTTTTTTAATAAATTTATTTATTTTGGGCTGCATTGGGTCTTCGTTGCTGCGCGCGGGCTTTTCTCTAGTTGCGGCGTACGGGCTTCTCATTGTGGTGGCTTCTCTTGTGGAGCACAGGCTCTGAGACACGTGGGCTACAGTAGTTGTGGTGCACGGGCTTCGTTGGTCCGCGGCATGTGAGATTTTCCCGGACCAGGGCTCGAACCCGTGTCCCCTGCATCGGCAGGCGGATTCTCAACCACTGCGCCACCAGCGAAGCCCAACAAGTTGTAATTTTGAATAAGATTTCCCCCACGCCCCCAGTTCTTTTAGTCCCTGCCCATCTACCCAGAACGTTTGACCTGCTTCATGGGGAAGTGGGATCTCACCTGGCCACCTGTACCCCCGCCCCCGACACTGGGATTCTTACTACAGAGAAAGAAGAGAGTGGAGGGTGACACCATGGAACATCAGCACCGAAAATGATTGGCCGGGGGCAGGCAGGATGGTGGGCAGAGGGTCTGGAACAGGAGGGGCTAGAGAACCAAGGGAAGATGTGAACACATGGGAAGGGGTGGTCCGAGCACCTGGGCCAGAAGCACACTGAGGATGAGAGTTGACAACAGGCCTGGCCTGTCTTTACCTTGTATGTGCACACCCTGTAGGTAGAGGTAGGAGACAGAAAACAAACCAATAACAGGTGCTTGTTGCCCTGCATGGTGAAAAGCAGTTTGGGTGGGGCTTCCCTGGTGGCACAGTGGTTAAGAATCCGCCTGCCAGTGCAGGGGATGCGGGTTCGAGCCCTGGTCCAGGAAGATCCGACATGCCACGGAGCAACTAAGCCTGTGTGCCACAACTACTGAGCCTGCGCTCTAGAGCCCACACGCCACAACTACTGAAGCCCGCGCACCTAGAGCCCGCGAGCTGCAACTACTGAGCCCACGTGTCACAACTACTGAAGCCCATGTGCCTAGAGCCCATGCTCCACAACAAGAGAAGCCACTGCAATGAGAAGCCTGTGCACCGCAATGAAGAGTAGCCCCCGCTCGCCGCAACTAGAGAAAGCCCGCGCACAGCAACAAAGACCCAATGCAGCCCCCCAAAATAAATAAATAAAAATTTTTAAAAAAAAGAAGAAAAGCACTTTGGGTGTAGGAGAAGGAAGAGGCCAGATCCTTGCGTACAACACGTACATGATGCTGGCACTGCTTTATACCTGGGAGCAGTGAGCATCTTCCTGTTTTGCACACACGGTCCTTATACACCCAGGTAATGAAGAACCAAGACCAGTGAGCTCTGGATGTGGGGTTGAGTCTAGACGAATAGCTGAGAAAGGCTGAACAGAAGGAACCAAAGGGCATGACACGGCCACTTTGAATGTAGCAACCTAATTTCTCTGTACATAAGAATCATTTTAGTGCCTGATTTCACAGGGCTAGTTTGTGGCTAGTAATTTATTCATTTCCTAGTCTTCTTTAAAAGGGGCATAGGTTTTAGGTAATGAGAACAGCGCAAGTAACTTTTCCACCTGCATTCCATCTCTCTTCTTCGGTGTCTGTTTGACCAAGTCAGTATAACATCTAATCTTACTTAGGTGACTGAGGGTAATTTCTGGATTAGGGTTAAGGAGTACTGATAAAAATAGGAAAAAATTACAGTGTCTGTCCCAACACTGTCTTTTTCTGGCTCTTTACAGGAAAGACACAGAATTCTTTTTCCTTCCTGGGATGGGTTTGTTTATTAACCCAACCAAGATCACAGGGGACGTTTTTCATTGCTACATCTGGAAAGGTTCCAACACTGAGTCATGCGTGCTTACTTTAGAAACTATATCTAGCCTGGATTAAGGAATAGTAAACTGCAATACAGTTTTTAAAAAGAGGTACATCTAGCCACAAAGAACAGAATAATGTTTAAGAGGAAAGAGTCAAATTGACTTTGTACTCTTAAAAAAAAAAATCATCCTGAGCAGAAAAGAGTCATTTGCTCTGTGGGATAATGGCTACTTGTTCTTGTCGTTGCTTAAGAGATGTGCAAACTTTGCCATTTAAGTCTGATTCCTTTTTGACCATCTATGAAGCCAGGATCTTACCGGCACCTGAAGTTAGGGAAATAAAGAAAGAAGACGGTGGGTGGCCCTCCCGTGAGAGATACACGAATCCCTTAAAATGATACGCACTTCTTTTTTTGGGGGGGTGCATTTTGGGTCTTCATTGCTGCGCATGAGCTCTCTCCAGTTGCAGCGAGCAGGGGCTACTCTTTGTTGCGGTGTGCGGGCTTCTCATTGCGGTGGCCTCTCTTGTTGCAGAGCCCAGGCTCCAGTAGTTGTGCCCGTGGGCTCAGTAGTTGTGGCGCGCAGGCTCAGTAGTTGTGGTGTACGGGCTTCGTTGCTCCGCGGCATGTGGGATCTTCCCGGACCAGGGCTCGAATCCGTGCCCCCTGCATCGGCAGGTGGATTCTTAACCACTGCGCCACCAGGGAAGCCCAACACGCACTTCTTAAGACCACCTATGTCACCCATTGCTCATCTAACCATTATCTCAACTTAACCCCATTGCTCTCACATCTTTTGAGAAGGAAAGCAAGAAAACAGTATATTCCAGAACTTACTTTCTGTTTTGAAAGGACAACCACTGCTGCCAGGAGATGCTGGAAAACAAAAGGTTGAAGCAAAAGACCCAGCATCTGCTCCTTCCTGACGGAGGAGGCAGCTGGGGAGGGGAGGGGGCAGGAGAGAGAGCTCACTGCATTCTCTACCTTGGGCTTGGGCAGCCTCGCCCTGAGCCTCCTTCCATCCCAGAAGATAATGGAGTCCCAAGCATCCACTGGTCCTCCAGCCTGACCCAGAAGTGCCTGTGCCACACACGGGGACCTCGGGAAGTGGGTGGCATAGCCCCTCCACTGTCGACACGACATCTCCTTCCTTTTATCAGCCTCTCAGAATGTGCACAGGAGTCCTTGCAAACTGCAAAACGAAAAGTGAAATGCATGAGCATCTGGAATCTAAGTAACTTTTCCCTTATTTATTGTGTGACTCTAGGTTAGAATTAGACTTTTAGAACTAAAGTTTGGGAATTCCCTGGCGGTCCAGTAAGACTCTGTGCTTCCACTGCAGGGGGCACGGGTTCGGTCCCTGGTCCAGGAACTAAGATCCCACAAGCCACGCGGTGCAACCAAAAAAAAAGAAAAGAAAAGAAGGAACTAAAGTTTGAGTGGGTCAGCATCCTCGTACTATCATATTCCTCTTCCCTCTTACTCTTTTTTTTTTTTGCGGTACACGGGCCTCTCACTGTTGTGGCCTCTCCCGTTGTGGAGCACAGGCTCCGGACGCGCAGGCTCAGTGGCCATAGCTCACGGGCCCAGCCACTCTTTGGCATGTGGGATCTTCCCAGACCGGGGCACAAACCCGCGTCCCCTGCATCGGCAGGCGGACTCTCAACCACTGCACCACCAGGGAAGCCCCTCCCTCTTACTCTTGCTTCCTTGCTCTTCTGACAATGCAAATATCGGAAGATTGAGGGAAAAGACATGAGCAAATAGAGTCATTTGGATTCTTCATGATGAAAACTTACTGTCTAAACATTAGGGGGGCTAGACATAAAGTTTTGAATTTATGGAAAAGATTTTCTCTTCAAAATTATTCGGATTTTTATGTTCCTTATTTGAACCTTCCAAAAAATAAAATAGGCTGAGTCTTCTTTGCCTTTATTTGTCTCTAAACGGGTTAATACCATGGAGTTGCTGAGATGATGAAAAGAAATAATATACACATAAAGCACTTAGAACAGCGACCAGCGTACAGTAGATGCTCAAAAAATGTCTGTCCTTCCTTTTCCTTAATCAGATGGATACGACTATCTATGTATCCTGTTTCCTGCTCTAGGATTAGAATTAGGCCAGGACAGCACGATAGGAAGAGAGAGAGCTTTGAGTGTTTAAGTCTTCAGTTAAAACAAAAACGAAAACAATGTGGGTCGACAAAGTCATTGCATTGTCCCCCCTAATGGGTTTATGTTGCTTGTCACTCGGATGGCAATTGTTAGTCTATAATCCAATTTCAAGGGCCCTAAAAGTCCAACCCAACCAGCCCATTTCCTACAAGTCAGTTGCCTGTAACTTTAGTAAAGCCGGCTGCTCGCTGGTCTCCAGCATTCCCGTTCTGTCCCTCTGAGCCGCATCCTGTGGCCTGGGATGGCCAACTTCCCGTTTCCACCCCTCTCTCCCTGCCTGTACTCACACACTCTCCGTTTAGCATCTGCCAGGTCTACAGTCCTATGTGCTGCCCTCTTCCTTTGTGCTCTTGTAATACTTTGTAACTTCTCACACACACACACCCCTTCTGTCCTGGTGGCGAGGTGGGGAAGCGCCTGGTCTCTGCAACCCGACTGCGTGGGTTCTAATCCAGGCTCCTCCGCTAACTAGATGTGTGAGTTTTGACAAATAACTCTGAATCTGTTTCTTCATCTATAAACTGGAAATACTAGTACCTGCTTCCCAGGGTTGCGGATTAAGCGAGACGTGCATGTAAAGTGCTCAGTTAGCAAGCACAGCGTGTAGCACACACAAGGCATGATCTCAGGAGGAACCGGCAGCATTAGGAGTACAGTATTTGTATCATGGTTTGTGTCCTGGTGTCAGCTTCTTTACTAGAGGCTAAATGCCTCAAAGGCAGTAGTTGGCTTTACTCCTAACATAGGTCCTAGCCCAGCGCTCCACTGTCTACCGTCTCAAAGTGGTTACACAGTAGAGCAGGTCACCTGGGGACTTGCTACCCATGCAGACTCTCAGGGCCTGCCCTAGGCCTATGGAGTCAGTATCTGCATTTTCTCAAGGTCCCCAGCTGATAAAATACAGCCCTTGAAATTTGAGAAACACTGCACTCATTCCTTGAATTCACTTGCTGAGCTGGTACTTTAATTATACTCATAATAGCCACTCGGAAAACAGACACTGACTGCTATAGAATCGGTACTGCCATTAGATCACTGTCATTTGTAAGGACCCGTGAGACCAGTGGTTCTCAAAGTGTGGTCCCTGGACCAGCAACATCGGATTCACTTGGGAACTTGTCAGAAATGCGAGTTTTCAGGTGATTCTAATGCATCCTCCAGGTTGGGAACCGCTGCTTTAGAACCCTGGGAAGCTACCAGAAGTACCACATTAATATTGTGCATCCCCTTCTTCCTGCCTTGTTTCATTTCATTTCTTCTCTTCCATGTCTTAAAGACACAAGTAAGGTCAAATGTCGTACGTATCGTTTCCTCTTTGCCAGATACTTGCTGGTGCACATACACATCTTAATGTCTACCTGGCAGACTGACATCTGTCAAAATACCTTTTCTGGTGTATGGAACACACAGATGACTTATCTGCGGTCCCTGTATTTTGTTTTATTTTGTTAATTTTATTCATTTTTTGAATAGGTGATAGACGCACATGGTATAAAATTCCCAAGGTACAAGAGTTTACGGTGAAAAGTAAGTCTTCCTCCTTCTTGCTCCAGTAATAGAGTTCCTTTCTCCAACAGCAATCACTGACCTTTCATCTCACACATTTATTGAGCACCTAATATGTGCCAGGCATTGTTCTGGGCACTGGATATGGAAGGAGAAGACAAAAACCCCTGCCTCCATGGAGCTGATATTTTGGTTACTGATTTCTTATTGTATTTGTTCAATAGCGTAGAGTTTGGCAGTAGTTAAAAGTAGGGCTCTGTAGTCAAACCAACTAATTTTGAATCCAATTTTCCCCATGTTCTAAGTAATCTTAGCTGTTTATTCTACCACTGTGAACTGGGTTTTCTTTATCTTGAAACGGAGATAACTATTCTATAAGGTTGTTGTGAGAATTACTTGAGATAATACTTATAAAGCACCAAACAGTGCCTAGAACATAGTAAATGCTCAATAAATATAGATGTTGATTATAATGATGTGATCTCATTCTACTATTCTATAACGTAGACTAGAAATGGCTAAAGGATTTATTTTCCCAGTAGCTTACATTTCCTCTCTGTGCTATGTGATGATCAAAAAACACACTTTTTTCAGAACAAGCACAGTAAATTTGTCTTCTCAATTCTGATCATTAACTGCTTCTCAGTTAAGCTATTTACTGAGTTCTATGAAGTAATCAACTCCTAATCAATCACTAGAGCATAGAGACTGTGTTCCTCTATTCTTTTTAATCTAGCTTTTTAAAAAAATCCCATGTAATTTGGAGATTTTGTACTATCATTTCATTTGGAGGTGTTTTGTACCATTATTTTCAGCTTCATAATGTTACAAAGTACATTCCTTGGGGAGATTCTGCATTTCGCATCAGAGGGATCTGAGCAAAGTTTCTGACAATATAATTTGATATAGTTACCTTAAGGAATATTCTTTGTGATTCTAGTCTCCAGCCAGATGGGAAATCAACTTTCAACCGCTGGAAAAGCAACAAAAGTATTCCTCGGTAGTGGTCTTAAGATGGAAAAGAATAGAAGAAAATTACATGCAAAAAAAAAGAAAAAGAAGAAAAGACCTCCTAGGGCATGAAAACACTTAAACACTAAGACAAGAACTGTTTCATTTATTCACCATGAAAAATCATTAGCGGGCATAATGAAAGATTGCAAGGAAGTTGGGTTAGGTATATTCCCCCATGTACTGATTCTGGACCAGTGAGTTGAATTCTAAAAGGGAATGAGGCACAGCTACGTGACCAACCACAGTCCTGATAACCATTTAATATATTCTCTTTCTCTCCTTTGTCCCTGATTCTATTTGGTATTATTTCCTCGTAGACAGAGCGTATGAATCTTTGGAGGATTGACTGTAGTACAGGAAACCTGTTCTCTGAACCTAGTCATCATAGGACTGGGAGGAAGGGGTACCTGCAAAATTGAAGTGAAATGCCTCTGAACAGCTTTTATTATTTGGGGAATGGTGAGATCAAGGTAGATTTGGGGTGTTTGGGTTTTTCTTTCTTTTTTTTTTTTTTTTGCGGTACGCGGGCCTCTCACTGTTGTGGCCTCTCCCGTTGCGGAGCACAGGCTCCGGACGCGCCGGCTCAGCGGCCATGGCTCACGGGCCCAGCCGCCCCGCGGCATGTGGGATCTTCCCGGACCGGGGCACGAACCCGTGTCCCCTGCATCGGCAGGCGGACTCCCAACCACTGCGCCACCAGGGCAGCCCTGGGTTTTTCTTTAAACATTTTCCAGCCTCTGGTATTTTATTGTCAGAAATGGATTAGCAGTAAAAACATCAGTGCTCATAATTTTGAAAGGTGTAAAGTCCCTTCCATATAGGTGAGGCCTCCTCTGGTGGCACTTACCCATGTGCTTCCCCCAGACTTTGTCTACACTAATCGTAGAACGCACTGCAGAGCTCACTCTAGTTGATTAGGGGTGCATTAGGCACCCTGTGACCACTTTGCCTTACCTTTGGACCTTGTTATTTTTCATTCCCCTCTGTTCCCACTACTTATTACCTCTGAGCTCAGTGGTTTAATTTATTATCATCGTCTCCCGTGGTTGTGTGAGTTAACAGGGCTCAGCTGGGCTCTAGACAGCCTTCGGGAGTTTGCAGTCAGACGGTAGCTAAGGTGGGAGTCACATGGCCAGAGGTTCAATGTGACGTCATCGCTCGAGGGTCTGTCACCTCGGCCGGGATGGCTGAAACAGCTGAGAGCTGACTGGCATCTCTCTCCAAATGGCTACCTTGACTTTCTTTACACCTTTACACGAGGTGGCCTCATGGTCGTCAAATTTCTTGCCTTGGGATTAACTTCCCCTTTGGAACAAGTACTCCAAAGAGACTCAGGCAGAAACTGCAAGGTATCCTTGAACTCAAAGTCCAAAGTCACGTAACATCACTTCCCCTGCATTTTAGTGTTCAAAGATTGAGCCAGTTCAGATTTAAACAAGGGCAGTACACAGGCATGGATACAAGGAGAGTTGGTTCATTGGATGGGGTAGAGAGGGCATTTTTAAACACTAGCTACCACACCTTCTTTGCTAGAAAATAGTCAGATTTATCTTCAACACAACGGTTATGCCACTGCACCAAAAGCTTCTAGGAAATGCAAACCCACACGAGTATTCAGTAAGTGAAAATTTGTGGGTTCTGGTAATACATATATTGTAACTAAATATATCTGATATTGTATGAGTGTTGTTCATTTATAGAAACATTACTTTTGTTATATTACAAATATAATTATCTGTACCTGTTGGTCAGAAGCTGTTTCTAATCAAAATATTTGGGGATTATAGAATGGATTAGAGGCAGTTAACAAGATACTCAACAGAGTTCATCTCATTCCTTTCTCATCTTTGGTATATTAGTGTGTCGTACTATACGATAATCATAGAATATTTTGTTTATTGAAATGAGAGTTAGTTGTATTAATATTGTTCCTCCATTCATTCAATCAACAGGTATTTGTTGAGTATCTATGATGAACCTGGCCCTGTGTTAGGCAAGGCAGAGCAGGGAGGCCTGGTGCTATGGTTAGATTTTGCCCCAAGCAGTATCAATAGTAGCATTTTAAATGCTAACTGTATGAGTTCATGCATTCAGATGTTTGAACACTAAAGAAAGCTGCGTTACTGAATACTACTAACAGTGCTGACTAAACCCTTTCTTTGTGCATTATTTCATTTAATCCCCCCAAGAGGTCTTAGGATAGAGGCAGAGTTGTTATCCCAGTTTGGTAGAGGTTGAAACTATGACTCAGAGTAAACAGTATCCCAGAGTTCACCTAAGCAAAAATGATGAAGCTTGAAGTTGAATCCAGGCACCGCCTACTATGCAAAATTGCATTAAAATAAGACCATTGCCTTTACCTCTAAATTCCATGCCTTGTAAGAAATGTTTTCATCATTCTAAAATGGTAAATGCATAATTACTTAATTACTGTTACTTAATAGTCATAAGACTACTTTAATCTTTGGCCAAATGTATTAACACCTCCCATCCCCATCCCAACTCTGGGCTTCTTTTGGTTTCATAGAGACCATTTCTGAAGTCTAAGAAGGATATGTAGAGAAAGAATAGAAACTTAACTTTATTGAAATTTTACTGTATACCAGTCATCAAGCTTGGCGTGCCAAATGAATACGAAGTTGCTGTGGCATGTAGGTGGGAAAAAAAGCAAAACCACCAACCTCTTTAATAAAAGCAATCATGAATTCCAAAAATACTGATGGGGCATTTACAATATGGCAGGTCCAGGAAAACCTGGGTTCTGGTTTTGGGGTTCTCATCTCACTCTTCCATGGGAGGGACCAAGCAGGTGTTTTTCCCGCCAATACACTCTGATAAGGGAAGCCCACATGAGGGACACCGAACTTAGGATGGTGAGTGGAGGATGGGAGGTGTTCTAGAGAGAGTCCAAGATTGGAGAAACTACTCAGGAGAAGAAGAGGGGTAAAGATTCCATCAAGGGAGTACACCCTATGTAGTGGTTCAAAGTCTAAAGAGTTTCAGGAATTCTAGGGACTGAAAGAATTATATGTAACAGAAGGGCAGGATGGGTGTGTAGGAGTGGCCGGAGAGAAGCTGGCCAAGAAGTCATGAGGAAGGATCCTTTCTTTGCAGGTCTTGTTAGGAAGCTTGAATGAGCGAGCACCATTGAATCAGGCTTTGCTAAGTAGTTTGGATTTTTCTTTTCTTTTCTTTTTTTTCATTCATATATTTGATTGAGGCATCACATCTGTGTTTTTTTTGTTTTCTGTTTTTAGATGTTGGGGGTAGGAGTTTATTAATTAATTTATTTATTTTTGCTGTGTTGGGTCTTCGTTTCTGTGCGAGGGCTTTCTCTAGTTGTGGCAAGCGGGGGCCACTCTTCATCGCGGTGCACGGGCCTCTCACTGTCGCGGCCTCTCTTGTTGCGGAGCACAGGCTCCAGACGCGCAGGCTCACGGGCCTAGTTGCTCCGTGGCATGTGGGATCCTCTCAGACCAGGGCTCAAACCCGTGTCCCCTGTATTAGCAGGCAGACTCTCAACCACTGCGCCACCAGGGAAGCCCGGATTTTTCTTTTCTTTTCTTTCTTTTGGCCGTACCATGTGGCATGCGGGATCTTAGTTCCCCGACCAGGGATCAAACCCGTGCCCCCTGCAGTGGAAGCGCGGAGTCTTAACCACTGGACGCCAGGGAAGTCCCAGTAGTTTGGATTTTAAGTGCACTTGTGGAAAACAGATGGACCTTCAGACATTTTCTCCATGTTACCCATGACTTCCCCTTCCATTCTTTAAAGAGTTGGAAATGATTCTTTTTATATTATTATTGGGGGGAATATTTTTCCATATGTACCAGGCAGTATAAATGGCCTCCCTTCACTTTCTGGGTATTTTCAGTGTTGATTATAGCCGGGCGGATCAAATTAAAGCACCAGGTGTCGTATCGTCTGAATATTAGATGAGTCATTATTTATGCATTGATCCAGGAACCACAAATCTGTACCCCACCTCCTCAGTTCTACAGATTCACATTTCTGTATATTTAGGTAACAGTTGAAGAGATAGATGCAATATATGCAAAAGTGCTGCAGACCACTTCCTTCAAGATAATGTCCAAACCCTTGACCCTTTCTAGGCCGACGCTCCAGCTCTTCTGAGAAAAAGCAATTGAAATTGCCTCTCCTGTGTACCCAGATGGAGCATGCAGAAGTCCGGCTAGCTTTTCCCTCCACTGCCAACAAAAACAGGGTGGAACAGCTGGGAAGGGAGGCCAGGAGCCCCAGAGAGAGGGAAGCAACGGAACAGCGCAGTGACAGAAGCGCCTCCTTGGCTGCCTGCAGCCCCTCGCAGCCAAGACCTCCCCAGCCAACCCCGGTTCCTCCTCCTCTCCCCCTCGCCAGGGACCCCTCAAGGAGGGAGGACCAGTTAGTGACTTTAATCGGATCAGAGAGTTGAAAGAGCTTGTGCTGAAGTTAAAACAATATCCACTCCATTTTCCCAGCTTGTCTCACTTCTCCTTTCCTGCAGCTCTGGATCAAAAGCAGCGGTGATGAGCTCGTTCTCCAGGGCTTCTTGGAGAGTTCTGAGGATCCCAGCCGCTTCCCTCTGCCCCACAGTTTCCCAACCTCAACCCGAGGGCAGGTCCGCCCGCCCTCCCTCCCCCCCTCCCTCTCTCTCTCTCTTTTTTCTTTCCCCTCCTTCCACCTGACAGGGACCATAAATAACCCAGGCTCCCAGCTGAGAACAAAGTTAAAGTTTGCCTGGAGCTCTCTGCCACTCCCTGCCTGGGCCGCTTCTTTGTTTTCTTCTCCTGTTTTTCCTCTCTACCTGGGTTGGCCGTTTCTTCCTTCAGGTTGGAGAAGAGTCGCCTCCTAATTAAATGCAGTGGCTCACTCGCCGGCCCTCCCTAGATTTCAGGCTGCCTCGGCTACCCGGTTAGGCACCGGGCATCGGTATCAAATTACCGAAAGTCTACACTGGAGCAGTCCTCATATTTACATACAAATAACTCAGGGGCTTGCATTTATGTCACCATTCGATCCTGCTAGAGGCTTGCCAGAGGAGTTTTTAATCCAATCAGAAGGAGTTTTAAAAGGATGTCTGCGGAGTGATCAAAAAGGATCTTGATCTCAATGAAATGTAGCCAGATTTGGGGTTTGGTGTTTTGTTTTTTTTTCATCTAAAAGATTGAAAATCTTTGAACACTGATGGGCAGGAAAAGATGTGTAATTCTTCAGTTGCTGGCGAGGAGACGAAGATGCTGAGAGGAACTTGGAGGAAGTGAAGACAGTGGATCCAACCCAGGGATTGGTTTGGGCTGATTTGGAGGTAGAGTCTAAATCACTGCTTCAGGGATTCCTGGAAACATCAGGAAAACATTTGATCAGCCCAGCCCGGTGGAAATGGCTTTGCCACAGAGTAAGATCTTTCTTTAAGTCGTACTTGGTGTGTGCTGTTTTTGTTTCCTATGTAGTGAGTGTGCAAGTAGCCCAGCTGTAAATAGTTACTGAAAATAATCTCTTGGTACCGGGTAGCCAGGTAGCTATGGAAAGTTGATCTGTTTGGTTTTTACACTTGGGAAAAAAGTGGTTGCTATTGGATTTTTAGACTTGATTGGTAGCTTAAAAGCTGAGCTCTTGTGGTTTCCCGAGTTCAAATGAATGGAAATTATAAACAGTGCTGAATGAAGGACTGGAAAATAGAGCTGGAGTGGGTGAAATCGCTTACCTTTGAGAAAACATAACATGTACTCCTTTGAAATCCGGCTCGGCCAGCCAAGCTTGTATCCAGTAGAACAAGAGTCATAAAAAGGAGATAGGGTTTGCCTGTTTGTGAAAGGAACTTTTCCACAGCCCGTGCTGCATTTTGAGAAGGATGGGAAATGTCCCAGAGGGCAAAAGGCATCTGGAAAACCTGCCCTGTCACCCCTGGAATGTGGTTTATTCCCGTGTGAGGTCATGTTGTACGTGTGTAGCTAGTAAAAGTATTTTATGCAATTAACTCTTTGTATAGATGGTTCGAGAGCAATTTATCTCATCCTTCTTTACAACTACTGAAGCCCCCATTTGATCTCTATTGAAGGTAGAGCTGCTTTCCAAGCAGGGTTCAAGCACTGGGGCAGCTGGACTGAGTTGTTAATTTGATAGATTTCGAAACAGTTCAAAATGGATGTGTTTCAAGGTTCCCCAGTTGAGCAGTTGTAGTTTCAGATTAAATAACTTGCTAGTTTTTTACATAAACCCCAAATTGAAATCCTGGGTGTGAGAAGAACATTTAAAATAAAGTCGGTTCCCTTCCCACATATAATTTGCAGAACAGTAATGAAGAGATGCCTCTTATTTTGCAATCCAGGTCCATTCAAACAAGCTGCCCTCATCATGGTTGGGCCAGGAAAACTCTAGCTGACAGAAGAGATCAACCTTTCTAGTCAGCTGGGGCTTGAGGCAGGGAGGAAGGAGATACAGAAACGGTTTAAAATTGGTACCTAATGCCAGGAGCTCTTTCTGCTGCTTAAATTCACTATTTTTTTTTAACATCTTTATTGGAGTATAATTGCTTTACAATGGTGTGTTAGTTTCTGCTTTATAACAAAGTGAATCAGCTATACATATACATATATCCCTATATCGCCTCCCTCTTGCGTCTCCCTCCCACCCTCCGTATCCCACCCCTCTAGGTGGTCACAATAAATTCACTATTGAAATGATGAACTAACCTCTACCTGTACTTTTTCCTTCTAATGGCAGTTTCAAATATTATCCGGGGGGGATGAGGGGAAATGAACATGAGAAAAATGGGTGATTGGCCAATGACTGGAGGAACAGTTTTCTCCCCAACAGACACATTTTCAAAAGGGAAGCTTCTGATTTGGGCTTGCTTTGTGCATCCGCAGGTGAAGATGCAATGACAGGCGACACGGACAAGTATCTTGGGCCACAAGACCTTAAGGAATTGGGCGATGATTCTCTGCCCGCAGAGGGCTACATGGGCTTTAGTCTGGGGGCCCGCTCTGCCAGGTATTTTATCGTTGCTCTTTTCTCACAGTTAATTTAAAACAACCATGATGTGTCATAAACCGAAATCATTTTCATTTTTCACATTATCCCCAAGTTTGCTCTTTGGATAAGGATGTGAATTTGGTGAAATGTACACATGCTCTGCTGTCTTCTTTTGTGGTTTTCAGTCCTTAATTTTATGCAATTGAATGTGTTAATCGTTTGTTCTTTTTTTCCCCACGTGGCAGTAGTGCTTCAAGCATAATAGCAAAAGAGCTCACTGGCAAAACGGAGAGAACCAATCTAGGTCACATGTTTTAAAATTAAGTTTTGTTCCATAGTGAAAGAAAGATCCTCTTTTCCAATAAGTAAGAAATATTGTGTTGATTGTTCACTATTCTCTCTTCGTGACTGAAAGAACAGTTTATGATTGAGACTTAAAAAAGAGCATTCTTGGGGAAAAATTATGTATTGTTTATTGGAATTGTCTGTCAACTGAGTATCTCTTTGAAAAGTATGCCATTACTTTGTTTAGAAGGGACATGTTAAGAGTGAAACAGTGACTTAACCAAAAGTTACAGGTAGAATGGTAGCAAATTCAGCTCTGAAAACTGAAGCTACAGCTTTTGTATGTGGAAAGCTTTGGCTCCAGCCTGACACTGGTTGAAAGAAACAGAACCTTGTCCGGAATTTGGGGACTTCTTTTCCCTGGTTGGGTTAACAGCATGTTTGCTGACAGTCAAGTTATTTTAAGCTAATAATTAAACCTTCTAAGCTAGCGCCCTGGGGGCATTTTCCTATAGTTTAAGGATCTGTTGTTAAAAGTTTCATTGTCTAATGGTAAACGGCATTTCCCTCAAAGTAAACCTGGGAGTTTATTCTCAGTGTCCGTTGATGTGGCCAGTTTAGACACAGAATTGCTTTTTCTTTGAGTTAATCTTTTTTTGTTTAATAGAATTTGGAGCCTCATGTAACTTATTAGAATTTTGGCTTTATATATATATTTATAAAAGGCCTTAAAATCTTATTGTAGCAGGTGTCATTAATAAGAAGGGGAAAATAAGTTTTTAAAAACATGTCTTATTTCAGGTAATCACAGATACCAAGTTACAACTGAAAATGTTTCAGAATCTTAAGGGACCTCAAGGGAAAAGTCTAGTTAGAGATTTAAGAGCTTTTGTAATCCAGTAACTAGCTGATTCTCTTCCTCAGGTAATATATAAAGGCTACATTTCATGACTCAATCACTTGTATACAGGGAATTGTAGCAGCTGACCTCCAGTGAGAGTTGAAGCCAGTATATTGTCTCTTATAAATTTTCCACAAGACATTTCTGAGGCTTCCATACTTCTAGTTTGGATTGCACCATTCTTATTTGTTGCTATTATATGTAACTCATTTTTTTACATTGGCAACTGATGTTATGCTCAGAGGCAAATTATCTGTAAAGCCGATATGTTTCTTAAAGTACTGTTAAACTGTTACCAAGTATAATATTCTGAGTGTAACATTTAAAAAGGGATACATTAGATGTGTAACTCATTCAACCATAACATTTTTTTTCTTTTTTCCCTGTCTGATTTTTTTGCTTTCTACTTCTTCTGTTTTTTCTAAAAATACTTAAAAATAGTCCCAAGATCAGGTAAGAAAATACGGCACCTTGACAGTGTTTCTCTGCTCTTCCTTGCCTCATTTTCTCATCTTTCTTTTCTCCAGCATCGTGCTGTGCTATGCTGTGCTACCATGTGCTTTTTCTTTTTTATTTCTCTGCTCAGCTTTAGAAAATCGGTTTTGTGATTTGAGAATATAAGCAAGTAACTAAATGTATGACAAGTAACGTTTACTTACGCAAAGTTGTCTGAATACGTGAGGAATTTATTTCTCTTAACGAAGTTGTATAGTGCATGAAGTAACTAGAGAAATTGCACTGGGTTTAAAGGAAAAGTCTTGATTGGAAGGGCTGTTTGTTTGCTGGGTTCTGTTCTGAGCTGTGCTAGGTACTTCAGTATAACTTCAGAAACCTGAAGCATGTGTTTTTCTAACATTTCCCCTGTTTAACACTTAGGGTATACTGATGGCTGCAAATAATATCGTTGACCTCAGTGAAAAACAACTTAATGTCTTCCAGACCCCCATGCAAATAATCTCTCATTTTAGTAGCTGAAAGTATCAATACTTCAATATATTAAGGATTCAGAGTGCAGCTCGATGCCGTTAATCGGCTCCATCTGCCTAATGTAAATAAGTCAGGAGTAGGAATTATGTCAAGTGACATTATGTAAAATGAGGACATCTTTAGACTTTTCCATTGGTAGCTCCCAATTCTAGGCTCTGTTCTTTCGTTGGCACTCCTACGTAAGTTAAAAGAAAGAAAGGATGTTTAAAAAAAAAAAAACACACATCTTAGATATGTTTAAAAACTAAAGTTAAAATGAATGTGTCATCATTAAAAAAAAACTTGTGTTTGTTCACATATACAATAAAAAAGCTGTTCTCACGTCCCACCAATATTACCATGTGCCATGGGAACCAAAATTTGAAGAAATGAGTATCTGATGCAGAGTGTGGAACTTCCTGTGCCTCTCAAATCGCATCACGGGGGCAAAATGGAGTCTTGCTATAAGTACGTGGAAGTTGCACTATCTAATGGTCTAGCTGCCAGGCACATAGGATTATTTAAATTAAAATGAATTAAAATTAAATAAAATTAAATGCAGCTCTTCTGTCACACTGGCCGCACTTCAGGTGCTCAGTGTATTGGACAGAGCAGATTGAGTACGTGTCCATCATCCTGTTGGAAAAGAAAGTTCTGTTGGATGGTGTTGAGTTAGAAAGTAGAAAGAGAATTCCTGCTTTTAGGAAGCTTATATTGCGTCTGAGAGAAGGGATGGGGCTAGAAACAGGAGTAACAAAAGTTTGCAACAAAAATAGGAAAAAAAAAAAGAGTGATGGGTCATATATGATTGGGCACTGGAGGCCCAAAGGTGCAAGAGCTCAGAGTCACGTGGCTTACTGAGTAAGCTCTATGCAGGGATAATGCTCTTTTTTTTTTGCTTCTATATCCATTTTCTGATATTGTGTCCCTCTCATAATAGTCACTTAGTAAGTATTTGCTGAATACATCAAATAATGACTCTGTAGAATGATGGTTATTTTGGAGAAAGTAAGGCTCTCATCCTAGAAGCATGTACCTAGCCATTTGTGTAGACACTTAGAATTATGTCTGTCATTTGGGGGCCTCTGTATCTTGATATAAAAATCCCCACTTTTGGATACTCTTTGGTGTCTCTAAAATATATCCATATATGCCTTTAATGTAGGCAGTGGGGGAAGAAATCATTTTGTGCAAGCACAGAATCATTCCTTAGTTACCTCTCCTTTGCTCTTTCCCCTGTCAAGCACAGACAAAGGCACGGCCAGGCCAAAGTCTGCCAGATTCGGCTGGTGAAGATTCGAGCAGCCACGTTTAAATTCAGACAGTTGATTACTTCCTAGGCGGGGCCAACTTCCTGTGGCCCTTGTCTTCCACACCAGAAAGGATGACACCAAAACCAAAGGGGCTGTATGTCTACCACGCTAGCTGTGGGCTGCCCCATTGCTAAGGAGCCAATTCCAGACCACTCTCTTCCAAGGAGGGCATGGCAGGAAGCCTCAGACCTCTTTCAAAATGGGAGGCAGTGAAAAGCTACCTCACGACAGCCTACCTGGTAGGGAGGTGAGTGGAAGATGGCCTCGGAGCAGCTCACCAGCCTCCATCCTCTTTGTTCCTGAAGGATCACAGGGGTTCCGCCAAGGCTCAGATGAGCTGCCATTCCAGCCTGCCTGTGTGCCCTTTGTGGATATATGCAGGGTTACCAGCATCCCTGACTCTATTGGTCTCTTTTTTTTTTAATTGAGATATAATTGACATATAACATTATGTTAGTTTCAGGTATATAACATAATGATTCAATATATATATATATTGCAAAACTGTTATCACAGTAAGTCTAGTTAACATTCATCACCATTCATAATTACACTTTTTTTTTTTTATTATGATGAGAACTTTTAAGATTTACTCTCGGGAATTCCCTGGCGGTACCATGGTTGAGACTCTGCACTTCCACTGCAGGGGCCACGGGTTCAATCCCTGGTCGGGGAACTAAGATCCCACATGCTGCATGGCACGGCCAAAAAAGAAAAATCTCTCTTAGCAACTTTCAAACATACAAGACAGTATTATAAATGATGGTCAGCACGCTGTACATTAAATCCTCAGCACTTATAACTGGAAGTCATATAAAATAAAATGTGATTTGAGAAAATGAAAATAAGCAAGTAACTAAATGTGAGGTATTCACATTTTATAACTGGAAGTTTATACATTTTGACCACCTTCACCCATTTTGCCCATCCCCCAAGCCCTCTTGGTATTTAGTTTAGAGGTCAAGGTGGTGAGGGGCACCTCAGGACGTCAGGAGTCATGCATTCTGGGAAATTCAAAGGCTGTGTAGAGGATTTGAGAGAGGCTAGAAAGGAGAAGAGAAGAAGCAAAGAAAAAAAGCATACCATAAGGAAAGACAAGATAACCATACATGGAATTTGAATTTTTCCAGGCCAGAAAGATGGCAATGAAAATAATGTAAGGTGTATTCATAACCCTCCTTCCCTCTTCATGTTTTCCATGAGAAGCCACTATAAACCAGAGCTGTCGATAGGTTAAATCCACATCTCGTTCCCAAAGCCTTATTAACAGACACATTTACAGCACCATAATTCCATTCAGTAGTGCAAGATAGACAGATATGGACCAGAAAGGGAGGAGACTCTAAAAGAAGGTCTTAACCAAGAAAAATCTCTCTAGTTATCAAATTATCTGCAGTCATCTGGAGTCATGTTGGTTTGACTGTCATAGTGAAATATCCAAGTTTTCACACATTTCACCTTCTCAAAGATTGAACACCAACTCGCCTAATTTTAAACAAAACCTGATCGTGAGGTTGTCTAAGCTTAAGAAATGTCCTAAAGTCTAAGGGATTTTATTTTTGATGTCTTTTCAAGAACGACTTTGGTTGATGTTTTTGGCCATCTTGCCTGTTCTTAAAGTTGCATGCATTAACGTTCTTTTATCCATCTCATCGTCATCTCCCACTCTTGAATGGTTAACTGTAACTACAACAGCCTCCGCTCCTTCAGTTCGGATAGGTCTTACACCTTGAACAGAAGCTCCTTCGCGCGGGACAGCATGACGATTGAAGAACTCCTGGTGCCGTCCAAAGAGCAGGTATGCGTTCTTTGTCAAATCTTCTTCCGTCGTTAAACTTTCATTTGTATGATGGAATCACGTTCTTTGTCGCATGACAAAAACTCTGTTTCTGCATGTTTGGTTTTGCATTTGTAAGTCTTCCTGTACTGCCAGTTAAAGAAAAAATCAATTGTACCATAAATCGAAATATCCCTCTCTTCTGCATATCAATCTCATCCCACAAAGAGGAACTTAGAAAAGTTCTAGGAAAGGCATGGGTACCTTTCTCATTTCTTGGCCAAATCTTGGAGTTTTTAAAAGAGACGGTTAAGGGAATTCCCTGGGGGTCCAGTGGTTAGGACTCCGCACTCTCACTGCTGAGGGCCCAGGTTCAACCCCTGGCGAGGGAACTAAGATCCCACAAGCCGTGTAGCGAGACCAAAAATAAATAAATAAAATAAATAAGTAAATAAAAGAGAGGTAATAATAATTGGTAGCTAAAGTCGCTGACATTATCCACATGAAGGTTAGGTTTTGCTCAACAGACTATGTATGCATGTTGGAATTTGCTGAAATTGTTTTTAGCAAGTTAAAGATTAGTTTGGTCATGTTTTTGGTCCCTTAGCTTCAAAGCTGCCTGGGATGGGCCTTCTCAAGGTGTGCCAGCATTTTGCTTTCTACTAGAACCTCTGCTAGGTTCATTTGGTGTTTATGCAATTTCTTCTTTCCGTTAGCTGTGGTTGAATAGATACTGGTTTATTACAGGAAGACTCAGTAACAGAGCCCTGCTGCGTAGAGGCTCAGGATGGGTCATTATTCTAGATTCACACAATACCTGCTGTTAAATATGCACAGTCAGGAGCTGGTGATGGATGAAACTGGACCATAAAACTAATTTTGAAGGTGGCCTGTAATATTTAAACAATGTAATTGGTGAAATGATGCTGGACTTATTGATTCACTACATAATGAAGGTAAATTGGGGCAGATGAATAAGTGATGAACACTTATCATCACCAAGTTAGAGGTTAAGCCGCGGGTCGTCACACCTTGAGGGTTCCCATCTGTCTGGAGATGCCGACTTCCAGACACACAGATGTACGTTGTACTTCATAAGGACCTACAATACGTATGTTAATGCTTTATACTCTCTGGAACATTCTTAGCAAGCAGGTCTTACAGAGCTGACTGCAGTGACTCTTCAGTGTTTGGTCAAAAAAACACCCTCTGTAGAATGATTATAGGTACATGCCATGGTTTAAATGGGCGTTAGCACCAGAGTAAGCACTTATCTCAAATGATGAAGCTAAGTTCTTGGGTGTAAAGTGTTGCCCAGGTATTGGTTGAGATTTTCTGAAGAACGCTCTGCTTAGTTGGCTGTGGTCATTATCCTAGTTGGGTAATCCTGATCTCCTTATGTTCCCAACTGAAATGAAATGTTAGTGGATGTATTGCTAACACTTAAAAGTGTAGAAATACGTGAAATTTTCTGTGCTCTAAGGGAACCCCACAAAACTTACAAACTTGCAAGTAAAAGGAGATTCCTTGAACATTTTGCTATTATTGTAATGGAGTAGCAAATTGTCAGTTGACCCTAATTATGGTTTATATTTCTGAATATATACTTGTTTGGGGGGCAAGGGCCTGAAATGGAGGCCGCCACCACCATTATCACCGTGACCTCACCTCCACTGCCACCATCACCTGCACCACCATCTCCACCACGTTTACCACCATAGTTACACAGCCTCTCAATTTCTGCACATCAACCTTAAAGTAAAATATAAATGCTTGCGATGCTACAAGGTTACAAACAGGCTTCTGAGTGTTCTCACACCGTGACCTGTCAGCTACTGCCGAGACCTACTTACTCAGGTAGAATGGCGGGGCAACATTCACTCAGAATGAAGCATTCGTGGAAAGAAATGAAGGCTAGAGAGAACGTTTGAGGTAAAGCTGATGTTCTTTTGTATAGTTTGTTCCTGCTCCAATTTCAAAAATACCTCTGTGGACATCACAAACCCTCTGTAGGCCAGTCAGAAGAAAGGAGAGCTTAGGACACCTTGAAAGCTTTACAGATAAATCTTAAGTTGATAACTGCAGAAGCAGGAAGCTGCTTTCTTTAATGGCCACAGAGAATCCGTGGTCTGACAGGCATTTCTCATGGAACGAGCACGTTTAATGAGCACATCACATGACTCCATGATAAATTCACTGGAGACTTGGAAAAAAAGATATGAATATCATAAAGACATTTTAGGGACAGTTGGGGGGCATTTGAAAATGTACAAGCTATACTGTTAGGAAATTATTGTTCATTTTCCGAACAGTGATAATAGTATTGAAGGTATACAGGGAATATCTCTCTTCCAGGGGTATGCATGCTGAATTTTTCAGGAATGAAGTAATCTTTGTCAGCTATTTATTTTCAGATGGTTCAGCCAAAAGTGTATGCATGGAGTGAGAGAAAAAAATCAAATATGGCCAAATGTTAATTGTTGAATCTAGGCTGAGTGTATATGAATATTCCATATACAGCTTTTTCAACTTTTTAATTTTGTATTCAATTAAATTAAATTAAAATTAAAACTTGGAGGAAAGGGGAAAACAAATTCTGAAAGAGGTGTATTAACTTATTTCATCCCATATCTCATTTATCATAGAAGAGAGAGAAAAGGCTAATTCCTCAAAAGAGAGGCTTTAAGAGGGAAGAGTCTAGTTACACTGGGCATGACTCATGAGAAGCATTTACTTCAGAAGTGCATTTAAACACTTTAGGTTAGAATTAAGTGACAAAAAATTATTAGTTGATGTCTATCATGTCTCAAAATCTGCATGGATAAATTTCAAAATGGAGTTTGTCCACAGTATTGATTTTGTCCGAAAGCATGCAAGAAATCTGAAATATTTAGAATTCCTAAATTTAGCAATGATATATGACTTACTGCCCGATTTAAAACTGCCTTGTCATTGCCCAGTTAAAGTTGCTTTGACAAGAAAAGGTGAAAAATGAATAAAAATTAACTTAGCGTGAGTTTTGTGTTCTTTTTAACAAGGGTAGAGTTCACCCATACAAAGCATAGTTGCCTCTTTATTATTCTGCTGCAGATTAATCCGTTTGCACATTAACCACAGTTAAAGTACAGTTGAGGTCCAGGGTGGTTAGGCCTGCCACCCCCATGTTCCTAAGAACCTGTGCTGGTTTGAAGGCCGGTGTGGAGGCCAGGGGTGTGGAGGCCAGAGCTGGGGAGTAAGGCTGAGAGAAGGAAGCCCATCCCCATTCCTTGCTGGGCCTTAGTCATGATTAGTTTGTAAACTACTTAATTCCCCCATGGATATTAAGAGTTGACATGTTTGTACTGTGATATTGGATTATCCATGAACTCTGCTTCCCTTTACCTTCCCTTTACCTTGTAATCAAGAATCACCCGTAAATATGCTTCTGAAAATGTGTATGTAGATAAATCATGTCTTGCATTTGTCAGAAGGTTTTATTATTTAAGGCAGTAACACTCAGCCCCAATTGCTCCCAAGAATCACCCGGAGAACCTTTAAGGTCATGATTGTTCAGTTCCTCATTCCGGGGCCCTGGGGGCCTTGTCATGCAATTTTTAAATGCACCCAGAGTTGAAAGCCCCTGATTCCTAGTCAGAGTTCTTAGTTGAGGGCACACATTGGAATCACCAAGTGGCTCTTTGGAGATTAAGATGTGTACCGAATTGGAGTCTCCCTGGCTGGGTTCTTGGGCACATGTGTTGTTCAAAATTCCACAGGTGATAGTGGGATGCACCTTTAGTTAGGAACCACTGCCTGAAAGCAACTGTGGCTGGGTTCTTTTTGTATATTGGTCAGTCAACCTCTAACGTATTTGTTTTATAAGCTGAGATTTGTGTGTGTCCGGATGTCTTAGAGTAACATCTGTTGCTCTAAGAAACATTCCTTTCCCAAGAGGAGGTAATAAAGAACAGGGTTTACTCTCAAGTGAAGCCTGGTTGTCGAGGATGAGTATAATAGACAGGTTCTTTCATTTCTTCTGACCTAACTATTAAAAGCAACTGTCTGGTATGGCTCTTGTAATTGCCGTGTTATGATCCAGGTCACCCAGTCCCCATGACATAAATGGAGGACTGTTCATTAGATGCCATGGCATCGGGAGATAAGGTGGTGATGCTTGTGGTGATGGTGCTGAAAACAGCTCCTACTATGTGCCAGGCACTATTCTAAGTGTTTTGGAATTAGTACTGAATAGTTTAGAATGAACTCATTTACGTTGCACAAAAACCCCTATGAGATCATTTCTCTGCTCCATTAAAAAGATGAAGAAACTGAGGTACAGACAGCTGAAGTAACTCACCCCAGGGGACACAGCTGGTAAGTGGCAGGTAATCACTGGCCATATGGCTCTAGGTTGCCTCCTTTTTGCCTCCTTTTTAAAAAAAATTTTATTGAAGTATAGTTGCTTTACAACGTTGTGTTAATGTCTTCTGTGCAGCAGCGTGACTCAGTTATACATGTATATTTTCACACCACTCCACTCTCTATGTGCATCATTCAGTGTGAGAAGGGAGCCAGCGGAGAACTTCACACTCTGCCCTCCAGGATCTCAGGCTTGTTAGTATTCTTACCATGGGGCGGTGCCATCCTCTGTATCCCTTTTTTTAGCATGAAAGATTATATTTAGACACATGTTCTTCATTATGCTTGTTTCTAAGTTCTTATTGAATGTGCTTTAAAAGGAACTGACAACAGTTACAGCTTATATTCAGCAGCAAGTTATGAAAATTACGGAGAAAATTATTATACTAAAAATTATGGCATAGAAGCCATCTTTAAAGGAGTGGAAATAGTTGGCCTTTACATAGATATGAAGTAGAAGGTGTACTAGGGCTCTAAAGATACTGTGCAGGCTACCCAGTTAATTACACTTCCCTTGAGTGACCCCACAAGTCATTGGGATGTGTACTGTGGGCAGAAACATTTAATTCAGTATCATTTCTGGCAGTTATTCAAAGATGGAAGAAGAGCGGAAATCACTTAGG